CTTTTCCTTACAGTTCTCTGTTTAAAAGGTTCAGTGAGTTTTCAGAGCTGTGGTCAGAGTCCTACTGACTAGTAATGCCAATGTAAGTGGAATGGCATAAATCACATCAGTAGTGAATTGCCATTAATTAATTAGTTGTATCTCATTGCTCACCAGCTTACATGACTGGCACATAATGAGGGATGCAAGCATTGACTTGTTATTGGCACTAGTTAACCATCAGGATTTTCATGCTTTTACCCTTAGATTGGTGGGACTAACCAACAAAATTCTGTCCAGCTTCTCTGTAACTATAAAACAGAGCACAATTGAGTTTCCAGGTCTTTTTATTACATATACATTTGAAGTTATTTTTCTTTGGACAGATTCCTAGATATACAGTGGTGCATTTCTGTCCCCCCTTGCATCTTGGGCTTGTAATTCTTTTACAGTATTCAGTCAAATACTTGTTGCTTGCTAAGGTAGTGTCCAGTATTATAATTTTTACTCGTTCCTTCCTCATTATCCATAGTCTTCCTGCCAAGTGGTTTTATCATGAATGCTGACAGACGAATATATAACATCATCTTTGGATTTTATTTTATTTTTGCAGCAAGCCTTGAACTGGGGCTACATTCTTTTCATGCAAAATAATTCTCTTAACTGACTACATGTCCACAACTGTTTTCTGTACTCCCACAAGCTCCCTCCAGGAGCAACTGTTCTCTAGAAACCTGTGTGTTTACAAGTCTATCACCATGTCTGTGATTTGTTTCTAAATAATTAATATATGAAGGTGGCCTCATCTGCTGTTTTCCAGTACATATATTTTTTAATTATCAGTCCCTGGGCATTTTGCCATTTTCTCTCTTTTCCCATTGCATTTTTTTGCTTAGAAAAGTGAATGTCTGCCTATAACATCGGCCAAATAAGCTGTAGCCAATTTGTTTTTATGCTTCAGCAGCATTTTTCCATTCTTTGTATCTGATTGTGTAGTTCGGAGTATTTAATGTCTATAGATGCAAGAAACAGTGAGGATTTTATCAAAATCCAATTACCTTTCTGTACCATCTGTTTCAGTACAGAGTCAAAATGATGCTGCCCCATGACTTTTGCGCTCCCCAGCCTAAATCTAGATGTAGATTGTGGGAAACATATTTGCTGTCCTGAATGGGTTTGACAGCACCATTTCTGCCTCATTGGAACCACTTAGGTGTGTGGTCTGGGCTTGTTTAAGTCTCTACTGTCCCATTCTGTTACTTCTCAATCTTCATAGTAGCTTACGTACATCAATTTTTACTGTGTGTTTCTTCTTATAACTTCTTATAACTTCATATTTAAAGAAAGCTTTGTTACTAAGTATGTCTGTTTTTACAATCTGATCATACTAGAGAAGACATCTAGTAAGCTGGCGACACTGATTGTATGCTAGCAAAAGTTTATTCTGACCTAGCGTCCCTGTTTTAGTGATACAGCAGTAATTCACTCCCTTGGGGGATTTTAATATCTGTTTTCTTAAATATGTTGTCTAGAGTCCCTGGTGTTAACTGCCATGCAAATATCTGTGGGTGCAATGAAACCAGCAGCTGTGTTACAAGGTTAAATTCCTGTGAGGCAGGCCCTGAATCAAGTTACATCACTCAAACGTCTCAACTCCAGCTTGGCCTTCCCAGAACAAAGTTTAAAGAACCGAATTAGCTTCCAGTTAGCAGGAAGTTCTCAGAAATGGAATCCAAGCCAGAAAAACTGCTGCTCTCAGTATAACACCAAGTCAGATAAGAAGAAGGTGGTAGCAGCATGGAATGTGATTGATCACACCTTAGAATACTGCTTAATATAAAAGTAAGGAAAGCAATGTGTTTGTGTACCTCTTTTTTGTACCTTGCTATGTCTGTTAACCAGAGCTTGGAAAAGTTGTCTTTAAAAAACACTACAACTTGCAGAATCTTCTGGCCAGTTTTGGCTGGGGCGTTTTGGGAGTTGTGGCTCCCCAAGCATAAAATTGCAAACTCTGCTTTTGCTCATGCTTAAGACTAAAGTAACAAGTCTGAAGAACTGAACAGTTTTGAAATACCCTGGAAAGGGTGTGACATAGTTAACATGCTGCTACCTGACAATCTCACTGAGGATTGTAGAACACACATGTCATTGTGCAGATCTGAGCCATTGTCATGTATGCCAGCAGAAGGCATTTCTATACCGTAACAATCCAGATGCCACACTGCGTGTTCTGGGGCAGTGGCAGTGATTTGAAGAGTGACAGGACACATGATATTCCCGTGTATCCTGGTTTGACCTTGTGGCAAAAAAACACAGCTTACCCTCTTTCTGCAGAGTAAATGCATCAGTGTAATAAAATGTGCATCTGCTTGATTACCATTTAAAATGTATCCAATTTTAATTTACAAACATGAAGCCCAGTCTTATGTTATAGAGATGTGTATACCTGGTCTATATGTAGATGATATAGCAGGTTCTCTGAGTGGCAAGCATATTGGTTAAGCCCAAATATATGGAAATTGATTAAATCTTTATGTTTTTCCCTTGCATTCTATTCAGAGTTCCTCACCTTTAAGTTCTTCACCTTCTCTTTTGTCTTCCTTCTGGAGTACTGAGTGTACACTTCTTTAATAGTGAACTGGTGGATTTCAGAATTTGCTTTAAAGGTGAAGGAAATATCTGTATGATCCAGCATCTGTTTCCTCTCTGAATTGCTTTTGCTTAGAACAAATGTTACTGTTGAAGTGTTGTAGGTAAATAGTGGCCCTACCCATAGACGCTGATTAGTCTCACCATTGCAGCAAGCAGCAGCTGTTTTGTAAGATGGTTTGAGCAAGTTTTCCCAGTGGCACAGGAATTTGCAGTTAGACATCTGACTCCCACTGAAATGCTGTAATAAGTTTACTAGTCATTAAGGTGGCACAGAGCTTTCTGTTACTTTATACATAATAATACTGTATAGAATTCTCAAGAGGCAAACTCTGTGTGTATGTGAGAAAGTTGGTCATTATTGGAATGCAAAACTTAGAATATTCCTACTGGTTGAGGGCTGCTGGGGGTTGTACTCCAAAAAGTAGCTTCTCTGAGCTCAATTGGCAAATGTACGGGTAGACTTGAGACTAGAATTGATAGAACCTGGTTTCATGAAACTTTTCTGTGGCTCTGATTTTTAAAAAATGACTGGTTTAATCAGATTCCACTAAAGTACATTCCTGTCTTCTTGGTTGATTTTAAATTTTCATTTTTTTTTATTGTGTCTCACATTGTCAGATATACTGTAGCTTTACAGCTTTGAGATTTCAAACCCATATCCTACATCTACTACTAATCTATAGTTGTTCAGCTTAACCTTGTGTAGTTTTATTTATTTATTTATTTATTTAATTTATATGCTGCCCACTCTACCCAAAGGTCTCTATGCAAGAGAATAGCTGAGTAGCCCAGTCAGTATCCATACGAAATCTAGCTTGGTGATTAGCCTTTGCTGCAAACGTGATAGCACGATACAGGTAACACATCACCCTCTGCTATACTAGTACAGTCAAGAGGCTCAGATACAAAGGCCTACAGTTGGCCTAAATGTACACTGTACAAGCCAGTGTAAATTTACATTTACCCAGGGATGGCTATCTTTAATAAAATTAAATTTAAAACTTCCTGTCCCCACTTCAGGTTCCAAGGCTTCCTAGGGATCTCCCCCACCCGACTTGGTAAGCTATTGGGAGCCTCAGGAGATGCCTTTAATAGAAAAATTCTGCCAGATTGAGACCACTGCAAGGGATTTTCAGATATTAAGGGCTCCTCCTTCACTCTCCTAAAGTTATAAAAGATTTTTCAAGGCAAAAGGGATCCCTAGACAGAATTGGGGGGGAGGGGAGGAATTTTTTTAATTTAATTTGATTAAAGGTATCCCTCATGGTGCACATTTATGGCAACAAGATTTCAACCAAAGATTGATATTTCTTTAAAAACAAAAAGCAAAATGTTGCATTCTACTCACATTCATTTATTCAATGAATTCGTTTATTCATTGTTTTGCATTGACATAACATTCTGTTAAGAACAATCCTATGTATTTAGACTTGGCTAATGTTCACATTACGTATGTGGGGGGGCAGCGCACAGCTTTTTCTAAAAACAAGAGGTGGTCTTTTGATGCTTTCTCTCTTCATTTTATTGAACCACAATGGAAAACAAAATCTCAGATTGTATATCAAGTGATGTTCCACCTGTAGCATTTTGTCACTTAAAAAATCAGCAATATTGGTCAAAATCCTATTGCTGATTTGCACTTGTGTAAGAAAAACTGCATAAGTCTTGGCAATTGATTGCTATTCACTAATGAGGTGCTGGTTGTCATCCTGGGCACGCATCTGATCACACTGTTTCCCTCATAATATCAGCAATAAATAAGATCTCACTATAGACTTGCTTATATGGACTTTGAAGACATTTTATTTTGCCAGGACTTTGAACTGCGGGTGCTTAATTGTGTATTATGTTACTTTCTTCTTAAAAACAAAATTGATTGTATGGCTTTTTTTAATGTATTGTTTCCTGGAGTGAGGAATGCTGTTCTGAAGGGCAGATTGCAAAATTTATTTATACATTGATGGCCAGAATCTTTTACATACTCCGGTATGTCCAGGTCACTTGATTGTGCCTCAGGGTGCATGATGAATAGCCAGAAAATCATAAAAACCACTTGTGAACAAGATTCTGGCCAGTAATCTAGATCCTAGAATAGCAGCTGTGGCCCCTCGCCTATGGAATAGCCTACCTGTAGAGATCTGCCTGGCTGTACAGGCAGGCCTTCTCTACAGCTATTACCTGGCCTATTTCCCTTTTCTTTTTTCATCCGGAGTAGACATGTTCTAGGTAGCGGTATATACATCTAATAAATAAATAAAATGAATCAGATTTATCTGAGTGACAACTTGGCCATTCAGATTACACCATTATCTGTAGTAATGGAGTTTTAGCACTCTTAGAGTGATTTTCTTTTCTTCCTTTCTGAAAAGCAGAAGCTGGCAGGCTGACAAACAGGCAGCTCACAGGACGGACTTTCTGGCTACTGACCATTTAGCTGGTAAGTTTAATTATTCGTGAGGTAATAATGTTTATGTTAGAATTTTTGCCTATAGTCCTTTCAAAATCATGCTTTTCTTATTGCCTATCAGCTGGTTATGGGCTTTACAAGTCTGTATATAATATTATCCCAATTATTGATTTCACAGAGTCATTTTTAAAGAAACTGTTTAATACACCTTGAAAGCTTGTTTTTCTCCGATACTATAGCTGCTGTTTAAACTATACACCCGATCTTTTCTGAAGTGGTAAAGCTTAACACAGTGTGAAACACTGTAAATAATAATGTGCCATGAAGTCAATTCTGACTTATGGTGACCCTTTAGAGCAATGGTCCCCAACCTTGGGCCTCCAGATGTCCTTGGACTTCAGCTCCCAGAAATCCAAGCTAGCAGAGGTGGTAGTGAATGCTTCTGGGAGCTGTAGTCCAAGAACATCTGGAGGCCCAAGGTTGGGAACCACTGCTTTAGAGGGTTTTCTAGGTAGGCAGAATTCAGAACGTTCTCTTCTTCTGGAGACATCCTGGGACTGCAGCTTGCTCTTCTGAGTTGCACAGTGGGGAATTGAACTCCACAGCCAGATACCTAACTCACTGGGTTGTTCCGTCAGCTTATATAAGGAATAGAGATTGTTTTATCATGGTGGCCACAGACACTAAAGATGAGCAGTTTATGTTTGTTTGCTTTAAAGCTGCTATATAAAACACCCTAAATATTTTCCTGAAACTCACTGAAGTTGTAGCCCACATAGGTGGCTACTGCAAAAGCTGTTATAGTTTTGTTTCCTAGACCTTTAGGTCTTTTGGCTGGGGCCAAGAGTATATCTCTTCAGTGCTATTTCTAGAGGAACAATAAGTGGTACAACATCATCTCAGTGTTCAAAGACTGGTAGAGGCACGTTGTGCCACAGTGAGTGCAATGTATCGATCCTTGGCCAGACTAGCTAAGAAGGTAACGTGGCACATCTTCATCCCTGAGAAAGATGGTTGTGACTAGGATAAACTGATCCCCCTTACCTGTTCAGTCAGAGGGGTTTGCTCCATGTGCCAGGCGAGTGGTCGAGTATGCCATTTTGTCGTCAATATTTTCTGCAGCCTACTTTCTCTTGTTTTTGTTGTTGTTGTTGTTGTTGTTGTTTTAATGTTCCATACGTGTATTGGCGACTATTGGGAGCCTCTTTTCTTTTCCGCTACCAGTGGCATACCCGGATTGCGTGTGGGTGGGAAATCGACCATGAGCTCCGTGGCAGTTTTGACCCAGGAAAGCTTTGCTGAACATCGCAGCGGTCTTGCTCAACAGCAAGTGAAAGGTGAGGCAGGGTGATTGTAAGCTTGTACTGTATTTGATTGTAGCCTTTAAAAAAAATATCTTGCTTTCTGTCAGGGGAGGTCCAAGCAGATACTTCTGTGTGTTTTTTTTATTTCTTTCTGTGTCCTTTTTATTTCTTTGATGCTTGAGTGGAAGTATAAAAATGATACTTATGTGGCACTGAGGGCTTGTCTACATGGCTGGAGCACGCTGCATTGGGATAAATAGGGTTGTTAGGAGCTCCATGGAGGGGCTAAGAAAGTAAAAACAAATTTAAATGTATTCGGTATATGTATTACAAGTTAGGTGGATGTATACCTAATACACATATCTAATACACTGTTCTTAAAGGTCTGTTCAAGAGCCTGTCTGCTGCCTAATACACACCCTAATATATTCACAGAATACACTTATCTATATATATGTGATTCAGAGCATTTTTTTCTGCCGTAATAGTGTCTAACCACTTCACAATATTGGAGAATCAAAAGAAGACAACTTCGACTTCATACCCAGTGATTGCATGCTCTGGAAGCAAGACAAAAAAGAGGAATCTTAGCCACACCAAAAAAGCAGTCAGCCTCGAAGCTTAGCAAGAGGCACCAAGCATGCAACTGGTTCGATATATAAATCACCAAATACATTTATCTGAGTATTTTAAACTTGCCAGACTTTTCCCTCCAAGCATCTCTGTGTACTGCATACATCCTCCCTCCATGTGGCTCATTTGTATACTCCAGTTTTTCATGCTCAGATCCACAGGTTGCATTGGATTACAACAATGTAATCTCTGACCATTAGCTATGCTCCCTGGGGCTTGTATGAGTCCATCAACATCTGGGATCCAAGGCTGCATCATGTGGCTTAATGCATCGTAGCTGTAGTTGAGGTCACACGTCAAACAAAAGTAGAGGCATCCATGAATGCTCAGCTGCACTAGCAACTTCTTTATGAAACAGAAGAAGTGCAGTTAGTCTGGTTGTAGCTGCTGATCCTCTGTTCCTCAGTAGAAAAAGAACTTGCCAATTCAGCAAGCAACTGGAGGTCTACTATGCAGCTGCCTGTGTCAATGTATAGCTTGAAATTATTTATGAGGTGGGCTATACAGTGGTGCAGGGAATTGAACTGGCTATCCGCTTGTTCCTTGGCCCAGAGCTGCATGCCACAGTTCTGCTGGCTGCCATGAGGAAGGGGTGCAACATACCAAGTGTATTAGGCATGTGTTTAAATCTCTTGTGGCTGGATAAGCTGATTTCGAAGAGAGATGTGGCCTTCGTTATCTCTTGAGATACTGATTACTGTCTGGCTTAACAAAAGAAATCAGCCTAATTTTAATTCAGTAATTCCAGTAATGTAACTTGTGGCCTGTGTGCTCTGCCACGAAACTAGGGAATGTTAAATATCAGCAGGGGAGGGGAGAATTTTGATGACCACTGCCTGTTTATGAAACCCTTCTTTGTTTCCTTGCTCTCTCCACTCTAGTTACAGCTTTAAATGCTGAAGAAGAGAATGATCCTCCAACTTACAAGGATGCCTTCCCCCCTCTCCCTGAGAAAGCAGCATGCTTGGAGCCAGCCCAGGAACCTACTGGTGCCTGGAGCAAAATCCGACCAATCAAGGCTTCTGTTATCACTCAGGTCAGTACAAAGAGGGTTTCCCCTTTTCTCTCCAGCAGCTTGCTTCTCCATCCTCAATTAGAATAATATATCATGCATTTAAAAAGGACCTGGAGCCAGATCTTTTCCTCTCCAGCATTTTGTGTGTGTGTGAAAGGGAGTGTTACAAGTAGGAGAACTGCTTGACCAGAAATGAAGCTTCTGCTTGAAACATGAGAGCATACACCAGATTGTGCAGTATTTGAGAATCCTTTGGGCATAGAGTAGAGGTGGGCAACTTCAGAAGATCTGGGAGCAAATGTTATGCCTGAAGAATTCACTGTGGACTGTGCTAGCCATAAAACTGGGTGCAATGGAAAGAAAAATTCTGGAACCCTATTTAAGCTTTCATTCTTGGAGGCTTGAAATTAAAAAATAAAAGAAGGTACAGAAGGGTACTGTACCTTGGTTAAATGCAAAATTGCAACTCCTGCAGTGGAAAAAAACCTTCTTTGCAAGAACAGATTAAAATGATGTTGGGTGGAAGTAGCTAGGAGTACAGAGTTATTTATCATTTTCATGCTTGACAGTGCAATCCAGTACACCCAGATAAATGCAATGGGACTTACTCATGTGTAAATGGGTGTCTCCTTATCTTCCAGTGTATTTGTTATAGTACAGGATATCTTGACTTCTCAGCTAGAGGAAGAGCAGGGCTAATAATTTAGTCCAAGTTGAACAAAGCATTGTTTTGCTTGAGCAGGTGTTCCATGTGCCACTGGAAGAGAGAAAATACAAGGACATGAACCAATTTGGAGAAGGGGAACAAGCTAAAATCTGCTTGGACATCATGCAGAAGACAGGGGCTCACCTGGAATTGTCTCTTGCAAAGGACCAGGGGCTCTCAATCATGGTCTCTGGCAAGCTAGAAGCAGTGATGAAGGCTCGGAAGGAGATTGTAGCTCGGCTTCAGACACAGGTGAGTGACTCAGCTTTTTGGTCTCCTCCCTGTTTCAAATCGGAGAGTCTGACATGTGAACATCCTCCTAAGACCCCATAGAATTTTATAGGCATATAGAAAAATAATAATCATAGGTCTGTGTTTATCACAGCTGGCATTTATTTCATTTAGGGTTAATTCCAGAATAAAATCAGACAGCCATTTCCAATCATATCAAAATTAATCTGGATATTAAGCTATAAGTCTTTTCATTGTTGCAGAGATTCGAGGTGAGTCTTTGTTTCTACAACCTGTTTATCTACGTTGCTTCTACATTCCATAACCACAGAAGTACTTCCCAGTTGTTGAAAATATCCAAAAGTCTTATAGCTATGGAAAAACTGTAGGCACAAATGCATAAAAAACCCCATGAACACCAAACTTAAGTTGCATGCAAATATTTAAGTCAGATTGCAATCCAAAGTACTATAAATATAAAAAATAATGTTTTAATTACATTCTAAAAATGCAAGAGCTTATAGCTTAAAAACGGCACATTAAAAACAAAGGATTCAGCTCTGAAATATATCATTAAAAAGTATTATACTGTAGTTTAAGCAGTTTTTAGCCTTTAAGCTTAATATAAGGACACACATGGAAAATTATTCTAAGTGCTCACTCAGCAAACCAGTATGAATCTGTGAAAGAAAATAATTTCTTGCTGCTACTGCTGCTATATGATTCCTGATGCTCCCTGGTATCAGGGTTGTGGTATCTGGGTTGTGTTACACAGCAGCATGTGAAGTTGCATGCATGTGTCTCTTGCCTTTCTCTATATTTCGTTCAGATGTTTACATTACCCTTCAACTGTAAACAACTTAATTTTGCTGGTGTAGTAACTTAGTAATAATATAATCACGTGCCATCATGTTCTGAGCTGTGGTGATCCTTTTCAGGGTTTTTCAAGTAGATAATACTCGGACTTGGTTTACCATTCCCTTCTTTGGATCGTGCACCTTGCCCAAAACCACACAGGCTGGTTCTTCTCACAGGAAGTACAGTGGGGAATTGAACTCCCAACCCCAGACTTCACAGCCAGATACCTCAACTACTGAGGTCTCTACTGGGGCTCAATATATGGTCAAAAACGTATAATGGAAATTACTGTTGTTTTTCCAGGGATGAAAAAAATGACTCCAGTAAATCAAAATCTGAGCAGCTGCCACCACAACAGATAAGCATCATTATTTTGACTGACAGGGATTCGCACTTGCTGTATCAATGGGTTGCCCTGGGACTAAGTTACTGCAGGAGTAAAGTAGCATAGAGCAAATTACTAGGTTGGGAAATGCTACCTGTTGGTCATGTTAACACTGCAACATTTCACATAATATAAACCCAATTATTACAATAACCTCTCATTTTCTCCTTTGTTTGGGCTTTTGTATTAAGTGTGAAAGAGATTGTTTTGCAAGGCAGCGTTATTGCACAGTGACCTTGCTTTCAGACTTGGCTGGAGAGCTGGCTGATAATTTTGCAGTGACTTCTACTATCCTGCTATTCAAATTTGCAAAGGTACACATTGTAGAAGAGAGCATACTGGAAAATTCAGATGGGTAGCGTCGTTGTGGCTTTTCTGGCTTCCCATGGAGAAAGCCAGACATACCTGTGTCCTCCCTACAAAATGATTTAAAAGAGGCAAGGAGTGGTGGCTTGAATATATGTTTGACTATATATTCTGCATATAATTTTACCTTTTGTTTTACCATGCCTCCATTGCAAAAAGAATTTAATGAAATAATTATTATAATGAAAGCTAAGAAACACCCAAATGTAGAGGCCAGTATCCTGTTGTTGTAATAATAATATTACAACTGCAGGGCTGGAAAGGACCCTACGGATCATCAAACCCAGCTCTGTCAAGGAGGCACAATGGGGAATTTAACTCCCAACATCTGGCTCAGCAACAAGATAACTAAACCATTGAGCTGTCCAGCAGTTGTGATACACAATTGTGGAAGGACAGTAGTGTGAGCATTATCACCTATCCAGCAGACTCCTTTGCATGCCCAGCCTCACACTGATTGTGAGATTGATTGCACAGCCGGCTGTGTGATTGGTTTTGTTATGGGGGCTGCCAGAGCAGGGGGGGTGCTTATGTGATTTCCCTTATGCTCTGCATATCCTGTTTTCCCTAAAATAAGACCTAACCTGAAGATAAGCCCTAGTGTGATTTTTCAGGATATTTATTTATTTATTTATTTTATTTATATCCCGCCTATCTAGTCACTCAGGACCACTCTAGGTGGCTTACAAGCCCTACCCCAAAATAAGCCCCAGTTAAGTGAAACCCCGTCCTCCATCATTGTGCAGCAACCAGAAAAAGATGACATGACTGTATTTGAATAAGTGTAGATTGTTGTAGATGGAAAAATGAAACATCCCCTGAAAATAAGCCCCAATGCATTTTTTGAAACAAAAATTAATATAAGACCCTGTCTTATTTTCAGGGAAATACAGTAGGATAGCAGCCCATGCATGAATACTGGGAGACACAAAATCAATTTGAAGTTGCAAAGTAAATAATAAAGAAAGGACTAAAAAACCCTGGACATTTGAAAAGAAACTGTTTAATCTAGTAGCAAAAAGAATATAATGTTGGCACCACACCTACTGAAGGAGGGGGTTCTTAAATCGGGCGCCATGATAGAGAGGACCACTCTGATGTGGATGGTGAATATGTTTCTCTTATTGGTGAAGTAATGATGCGGACCTGTATTTTGTCATAAGTACTGTCCATAGAGGAATGTTACAAAATGTTGAAGCATATTTGGTATCAAGCCAGTCAGGTAAATTCCTAGTCACAAATATGTGGGAGAAAAGTTGTTTTGCACATGCTAAAGAGTGAAACACAGCTTCAGGAGTACTGATGGCTAGGACAGTATGATTTTTTTTTAAAACAACCTCATGGCTAATTGTCCCAAGTTCATAATTGGATGCAGTTTTACGAATTCACAGTTGCATCCTCGTGGCAGGCACTATGGCATCACGAGACCTCCAAGCAACAATATGTTGGGAGATGCCTAAGCCTTGATGTTTCTCATCATCAGTTTGTGGCTGGCTGACAGGCGAAGTTTGAGCCAGGCTTCATCTTCAGGGCTTTATAAGAACCTGGTTAATTTCATATACCCTTCTGGCATGGAGAATATTTTACTTCAACATTGTATGTTCCACATTAAGGCAATTGTTGTTACTAGTCTACTTTAAATTTATTGGGAGAAATCCTGTTGCAGAAGGAATATCTTTTAGAGGCAAATTGGTATAACTTAAGAAATCTTCTTAGGCATTGTCTGCTGCATGCTGAATTATGGGACTTGGTGTATAACAGATGTCAACAGAGTTTTCTTAAGACAGCTCATCTCTAAAAGTTAACTCTTGTAACTGCACAGTGGGACTTCAGCCAGTGAGTTCAGAAAGAATGTTGACATGCCCGTTTATTCAACAGAAGTGTTTATTTTTTGTGTTTTTTATTTTTGCCATCTACTATCTAAGATTCTGTGGGTTCTGTACAGTCTTTTAAAAATATGAAATGTACCAATAATGTTCTAAAATACTGATAAGAGAACAATATGAGCAACATGTATGTGTTATGATCTGTCAAGTTACCTTTGACTTATGATGAGCCTAATAGGATTTTCAGGGCGTATGACATATTTAGGAATGGTTTTACCATTGCCATCTGCCATTGAGTTTCCATGGTGGCACAGAGGCATGAACCCAGATCTCCTGAGTCCTAGTCCAGCACTTTATGTACTGTACCACAGTGGCAGGAATTCAGTAGTAAGTCATAGCTAGAGTAAACCCATTGAATCAGTGAAGATTTTGTGAATCAATATATACATAAGTAACTTATAAAATATTACAACATTTAAAACCAGCAGCAAAGTAAAAGTGAAAAGATATAAAAGCTCTAGGAGTTGCATTTTATCTGTGTTAAACTATTTAGCCTCCAAATCAGGAATGAGGAATATATCCCCCTAGGTTGTACTGGGCTGAGATCTCCATCAGGCCTAACCAGAACAGCCACCAATAAGGGACGGTGCAAGTTTCTTCCCACAAAGTCTAGAGGGGCACTGGTTGCCCCTCCACCCTCTGGATTGTACAAGAGCAATGCATAGATGAAGAGTTAACGGCCAGTCCGGATTGTTCCACTTCAGGCAAAAGCTAGAGAGATTTTATCTTCATTAGTGAAGATGAAGAGATTTAAATGAATTTGGGAGCTTGTCTGTTTGAGTACACTCCCCTACCTGCCCATGTCTGCATATAGAAAACGGTACCTAGAGGGGAGAAAAAGGCTGAGTGGACTGGATCTATGCATAGGAGTCTAGGCAGGGATTTTTATTTATTTATAATATGGAGAAATTAATCAAATATATGGTTTTCCCATGTCTAACCTAAACTAGTACTATTCAGAGCAATCCTGACCCTTTGATTTTGCTGAGTATAGGGGTCAGGCTCGCAGGCTTTTAAGTATAGGGGCAGGCTTCTCACAGTGGCGAACTTAGGCAGAGACAGTTTTTTCCTGTTGCTGTTCCACTGTATAATGGGGAATGTGCATCTCTTCAAATTCTCCTTTTCCCTCTAGCAGTTTAGCATGTCCTCTGTTGAACCGGTTGAGTCTAGCCGTTAAGGTAGTAGAAAGACATCTTTGTCAAGAACTGGCTTGTAATTCTACCCTACTGCTTGGTCTCCTCTGTAGGCTTCGGCAACAGTGCCTATTCCTAAGGAACATCATCGCTTTGTGATTGGTAAAAATGGAGAGAAGTTGCAGGACCTTGAGCTCAAAACTGCCACTAAGATCCAGATCCCCCGCCCGGATGACTCCAGCAACCAAATCAAGATCACTGGCACCAAGGAAGGGATTGAGAAGGCTCGACATGAGATTCTGCTGATTTCTGCTGAGCAGGTAAACTGTGCATTGTCTCTGCAAGAGACTAACCTGTTTTCTGAGGGAGCATTCAAGGACAAGTTAGGTCTGATTCTGAATTACATTGACACCTAATTGTGGCTCACCGGGAGGAAAGGCCTAGCTGGGAAGGCTTCATGTTTTAGCATAGGTCTAGCTCTGCCGTAGTTTCCTATTCAGAAATGAAATTGTCCTTCTGCTAAATGAGAGCTTCCTTTCTAAACAAGAAATAAGAGCAAAGCTAGGCCTATGCCAAGCCACAAAGTCTTCCCAGCTAGGTCTTTCCTACAGGTGAGCCACAATCAGGTGTGTCTAGGTGTAAGTCTGTCAGGTGCAACTCCCAGAATGGAGAATTATAGCATTTATGGGCCAAGAAATAAAAAAATCCCATACCTAATGATGATGTGGTTATGTCCAGTATACTACAGGTTACTGGGTACTTCTATATGTTAATGAACATTGTGTAGTTGCCATGTTTTCTGTAACAGTCATCAAAACACAGCAGCTGACAAGATCTCAGTTGACTGCTGTATTATGTTGCCCGTACCTGCCTTTTCCTGGACTCCATGTTCAAATTGTCTCCATCTTTAAAATCATTTCTTGAAGGCTATATTTTCAAGTACTTTTAACAGCTGTGCATCTCTAGCCCAGTCTGATTATACCAAATTCCGTGCTATGAAGAGAGATGATAGTGGCAGTAGAAGGAGAAATCATACAGCATTTTATTCAAAAGCTAGATGTGTGTGAATAGTAGTCTCAAGAGCTTTGTACTAAGGTGTTAGGGGTTTCGGTAAAAGTTAAGACTAGGACAGCCTTTGCTAATGGCCACTTGGAATCATTTTTTTTAAAAAAATTGTGTCACAGACCTGTTGTATATGTTTGTATGTGTAAAAGGTATGTGTATTAAATCACTTCATTTCCCAGGATAAACGTGCAGTAGAGAGGCTTGAGGTAGAGAAGGTATACCATCCTTTTATTGCTGGCCCTTTCAACAAGCTGGTGAGTGAGATCATGCAGGAGACAGGGACTCGCATCAACATCCCACCTCCCAGTGTTAACCGGACAGAGATAGTCTTCATTGGAGAGAAGGAGCAGCTGGCCCAAGCTGTGGCTCGTGTCAAGAAGATCTACGAGGAAAAGGTATCATCCTTTATGAGCTCTTATGTGGTACTGTACCATACGGAGTGGCTCTGAATGGCACTTTTGCACTGTTTGCGAGGATTTCTTGCTTGTCTAGTTTCCTCTACAGGTATAAAGGGAGTGTCCTCCATCCCTTTGTTATCTTTCCTTCCACCACTTGCTCTTAATACTTTCTTCTATAGGCAATTTAAACATCCCAGCTACAAAAACATCAGTTTATGAATGTGTTTTGGTCACTGTTGTGAAACCAAAGCAGAGCCACTGGGTTATTTGATTAGTGAGCCATTCAAGATCATATCGTTGTAGAGGACTTCTTATCATAGCAGAAGCAGAGCCACAGGAATTGAGTATTGTGTACCAAACTGTACACAGAAACGATACCTCTGTCTTGCATTTTGTGTCCATTTCATATATTAAGAAAAGTGAAAAGGAGATACAGGTTTACTATGCTTGATGGCTTATCTGAAGATATTCTGTGATTAACAGCTTTTCTTTGTAGAGTACACACAGACCAAAAGGTTTCTGTGTGTTTGTGTCTGTCCTTGCTTTGCTTCTATTTGAGCATTCCTTTCTCTTTGACTAGTTATTCCCTCACTTACTTCCTTTTCCTTTGACTTTTAGGAATGTTTCACTAACGCCCTTTTCCTCACAGAAAAAGAAGACTACCACCATTGCTGTGGAGGTGAAGAAGTCCCAACATAAGTATGTTATAGGCCCCAAGGGGAATTCCCTGCAGGAGATCTTGGAGAAAACTGGAGTCTCGGTCGAGATCCCACCCACTGACAGCAGCTCGGAGACTGTGATACTGCGTGGTGAACCGGAAAAGCTTGGGCAGGCACTCACTGAAGTGTACGCCAAGGTAAGCAGGGTTTCCTACAGAACCAGTGGACAGTGGCTGTGTATTTTGGGGTAACATAAATTATCTGTGGAATTCTATAGTTCTTTATGTCAACAATGTCTTTTCTAGGCCAACAGTTTCACAGTCTCCTCTGTCTCTGCCCCCTCTTGGCTTCATCGTTTCATCATTGGCAAAAAAGGGCAAAACCTGGCCAAAATCACTCAACAGATGCCAAAGGTATGAGTTGAAATGTTAGCAATAACAACCCATTAACATTAGATTTGAGAAACCGCTCAGGGCAGTTGACTCAGTGTGCATGTAGCTATAAGACGGGAAATGATTTGAGCATTATCTTATGCCCCCCCCTCCTCATTCTTTGAAAGAGCAGAACAAATGAGTTGAAATCTTTAATAGATTATGGCTTTTTAATGATACCTTGTGACAGTTCTGATATATGAAGTAACAGATTCTGTGGAACGCCTGTATTTCTGAGAAGAAGTTTAGAAGAGATAAAATTAGCAGTAAGACTAAAAATAAGCAAGCAACTTCCATTTGTTGACACTTTTTGTCAGCACCAGTTTAGGCAGATGCAGATTTGGGGGTGGAAATTAAGCTTTTGATATGTGGGTTTTTTAAAAAAAGCAACTAAATTTTTTTCATCCATTTCAGGCTAATAAGTAAACACACCAAATCTTCAGTGAAATTGTATATGTTAATTGCCACCCAAAGCTCATACACTTTTCAGGCGATCCTAAGTTTTAGTTAGGGTTGTCACATGTGCCTGGGAGAGAAATTCCACTTTCCAAAGAAAGTATCAACATAAAGCTCTGTCTCCGTTAATATGTTTCTGTCAATGTAAATCCATCCACTGGCTTCCATATTTTGAAAATATAAATGCGAAGGATGCAATGCAACATCTCTGCTTATAAAATTAAATTGCTGTTACCTTACTATTACATTGCCTGAATTTCTGTAGTCTCATACTAAAGCTGAATTGTTTCCTTGACTCTAAAAGGTTCACATAGAATTCACAGAAGGGGAGGATAAAATCACTCTGGAGGGACCCACGGAGGATGTGAATGTGGCTCAAGAACAAATTGAGAGCATGGTCAAAGATCTGGTGAGTTGACAAGCCAGAGCGTCTTACTGTATAGCCATCCTCTCAACTAGAAAAAGCTGTCAACTGCTACAAAAACAGCACAGCTCTGTCTTTCACTACTCAAATAGCCCAGTCCTGCATCTTTGCCTCCTGTTGAGAATGAATATCCAGTTTATAATTTGCAGCAAAGTGAATCTGCTGTGTTCAGCTGGATTTACATCTGGTATGTGTGCTTAATACTGCAGTTCTGGGAACAAAAGAAGACTGTTGAGTTTTTTTAGTGGAATGGCCATAAAGAGAACAAAAGGCTATGTTAAAATATCTCTGGAGTAGAGCAGTGGCAGAATTGCTCATCGTCTCTAATCTGTGTGCTTTTTATTCAGGCTTGAACTACTTAGCTCAGTGGAACATCTGGATATATAGGTAGCTAGTTATTTATTGTGTTGTGGTGCATATTGCTGTCTTTTGTTTATTCCTCAAGTAGACATTGCTCCTGATTTTGGTTAACCATTGACTGTTTTTTTGCAGATCAACCGGATGGATTATGCTGAAATCAATATTGACCATAAATTCCACAGACATCTCATTGGAAAGAGTGGAGCCAACAGTGAGTTAAGATAGCTCTGTGTGCAATGTGTATTATTTTTGTCCTTCATTTGTGCTTGTTAGATATAAGCTGCCTAGAAGAGTTAGATACAGATAATGTTGGTAGCGCAGATGACAGTCTTGGGAAAGTACACCTTTAACAATAGGTCTTCTGTTCTTGAAATTCCATGTTGGTCAGTGAACTCTGCTGAACCCCCACTTTCCTCTCCCATACTTTGTAGTCTCCAAATAATGTGTGGGCCTGTGTTCCCCAAAGCTCAAGTGATTTTCCAAGGAAGATTTCTCTTGTTCCAAGACAGGTTTGGATTGAAAAGGATGTGGGATAGCTTTTCATCATAGAATCTTTTTATTTGCAGTCAACAGGATTAAGGATCAATACAAAGTATCTGTGCGAATCCCTCCAGACAATGAGAAGAGCAACCTCATCAGAATTGAAGGAGACCCCCAGGGAGTTCAAGAGGCAAAGAGAGAGCTGTTGGAACTCGCATCACGTATGGTGAGCTTTGGAAAACTGAACGGTGCCTCGGAAGAGGAGGGTTAAGGGTTACTGCTAACCTTTGTGTGCCCTGCTACCGGCAGAGATGCCCTCATCTTTTTTCTGTGCTTGGATGACAGACCTACATGATGAGACTCATGGGTTGTCAAACATTGCAATTTGACTCGCAAAATAGTTGCAGTGAGGTGAATAAAGAATAACATACTTCTTTAGTCCATGATATACATCATGGAGACCTTTTTTTTTTCATTTTGTAGGAAAATGAACGCACTAAGGACCTGATAATTGACCAGAAATTCCATAGAACTATCATTGGGCAGAAGGGTGAACGGATTCGGGAAACCCGTGATAAATTTCCAGAGGTAACAAAATACTTCTTCTTTAATCCCAGTGTTACAAGCTTAATTTTATATTTATGCCCTTCCTTTCAGTTCATAATGGTTTCTCACCAAGATTTTTGGTACCTTATATACTCTTATGGTATATTGCCCTCTATTCACAGTTGGGTTGAAATAAATTAATATATATGTTTTGAAGGTCCTTTTTCAGATAGAAAATGGACCTAGTTTTTTCACTTTCTCCTCAGCCACTCTCCTGTACTGATACTGTGCCAATTTACCCCATATAGGATGATCAATGTGTCATATTACCATGACCAGTATAAAGCCTTGTTGATTACATATTATGGAAATAGCTATCTGGAACTTAATGTATATAAGCTCAGTATCTTCTATAACCTTCAACTGAATTTTTCCTATAGGTTATTATCAACTTTCCAGATCCGTCACATAAAAGTGACATTGTCCAACTTAGGGGACCCAAAAATGAGGTGGAAAAATGCACAAAATATATGCAGAAGATGGTGGCGGATCTGGTAGGAAGCAATTTGTGTTTGATTTTCACATTTTAACTGTTTTTCAAATGAATCAGGACTGTAGATAACCTTACTTAAGAAATTTGTGCAGAGATAATAGGGCCAATTTGATCACATATGCAATACTACTTTGTATTTTTTCTCTAATTTATAATAATGCCACATCTGAAGCTGACTCTCAAAAGAGTACCTGGGGTTAATTTAAAGGTTGCAAACGATGAACTTATTCCTCACTGAAGAGTATACCACAGTGGTTCAGTCAGTTTAATGAGACATGTTTTTCCTCACCTTCTGTATTTTCTTTCCATCAGTTCTATGTTTTTTGCTGTCTTCATCATGAATTAATGTGTTTCTCCTGATCTTCCCTTCCTGATACCTCTCTTTTAGTTTCTGTAGTTATAATTCTTATGCCTGTCTTTTAAGCTGAATTGGCTTACATTTGGACTCATGATGTCTTGTTCTTATTCCTCTTTCATGCCATGTGGGATTTGCAAATCATATACACTGGGGTGGACATAATGTCATCAAGACATCCTCAAAGTATTTTGATTTTTAAAGCCAGTAAAAAAAATGGTGGTGTGATCTGCCACTTAACATTGGCAGCATATCTCCAAGCTGCTTTCACATCTTATATGAAGTTCTTTGGTGTCTGTTTCTATTTCTTTAAACCTACATAGGGGGTCAAATATTGTTTTCAGTATTTATTTGTATTATTATTTCTTTAATTATCCCAGCTGAGTAAGGAAGATTTGATTAAGTGTTTTCTAGTTTCTGACGAAAAATTAACCCAGATAAAACCCAAGAAGTAGCTGGTCAGAGCGAAGACTTTTTAAATCAGTTAAGCCAATCAAAATAGTGAAACATAGTTTCACAAATATTTGGTCACTGTATGAACACATAGGAATAACATTCCTTGGTTAAGCTGAGAAAGTAGCTGGGAGCCATGTCATTGTGCTTTGGTGAAAGATCATATTTTTTCTGGCACCACTTTTTGTTGGGGTGTATGTGAATGACCCTTGGTCAGCTGACTATATTGGAATTGGACCCTCAGCCTGCCTAGGATTGCCCATCCCAGTATTTGCTGGTAGGGAGATACTCGGTCCTGTGAACAGAAGTGACTTCACAAGAGGAAGATTCTTCAGAGAAGGCTATACTGTGGTGTGTTTTGTCCAATTGAGCAGTGTGAGGGCCTTGTAAGACCTAAGCAGTAACTTTTCCAAACTGTGGTCTGATCCAGTACCCTTTCCTACAGTGGGAAACTTGGCAGTGGCTCTTTCTTGCTCTTCTCTTCCTCCCAGCAACTCTGTAATTTGCTTCCACACCTGGATAACGTATTTAGCTAAATAGCTGAATGACGTATTTAGCTGATAAACCTGTCCTTTGTAAACTTGTGTCATTCAATTTCAAAGCCATGTTGAAGTGGCAAATTTCATACATCGGTTATGGATTTTATGTACAAAATTGGGAAAGGGGTGCTTTATCTTCAGTCTAGTTCTAGTCAATTTCATTCAGTGCCCCCCCATTCTAATATGAGAGAAAGCAAGAATAAGAGTTGTCTGTTTTCTTCATTCCCTGTAAAACTTGATGCATCTCAATCATTTTCCTTTCCCCTGCTTCTCTTTTCCTGAATTAAAAAGCCACAAAGGCTCTAGGCTTCCCTTATATGAGCCCTGCTGAGCAACTGTGGTCCTCCATTTGTTTTGAGGCTCCAACTCTAATAATGTGTCATCATTTACTAGGGCTGAAGAAAGTATAGACCGAAAAATATATCTACAGGGACACTGTGGCCCATCACTGTAGGATCATCATGTGTTTATGATTTCTTTTGGGTTTTTTTGCTTTGTTCTACATCCCCCCCCAATTCCAGAAAAAATATGCAGTTTATATTGTATCAGGCCTAGGTGAGGAACATTTTGCCGTTCTGATATTTTTGGACTCCAGTTTCTATTAAATTCTGCAAGTATGGATGGTGGGTGGTAATTGTAGCATTCTGACAATAATTAGAATGTTGCTGATTGCCACCACTGGTACAGAGGCTGCTAGCAAAAGGGAATGGATAAAGGGTGAAATTACATTTGCTGGTACAGTGGGGTCTCGACTTACGAACTTAATCCGTATTGGAAGGCAGTTCTCAGGTCGAAAAGTTCTTAAGTCGAATCTGCATTTCCCATAGGAATGCACTGAAAACCATTTAATCCGTATCTGCTCTTTTCGTCCATAGAAACTAATGGGAAGCTGCTATTCCGCCTTCTGCCACTAGAGGGGGATAGTTTTTCTTTTTTCCTTTTAACCTAAGATGACTTAGCTTTAAAAAAAAGGAAAAAAAGAGTTCGTAACTCGAATCTAAGTTCGTAAGTCGAGTCCATATATTCCTATGAGAGCGGTTCGTAAGTCGAAACATTCGTATGTTGAGCCGTTCGTAAGTCGAGACCCCACTGTATTGCTGTGCATCCATCATTTACTTATTCTTTCTTTTTCATAAGGTGGAAAACAGCTATTCCATTTCTGTTCCAATCTTCAAACAATTCCATAAGAACATAATTGGCAAAGGAGGCGCAAATATCAAAAAGGTGGGACTTACTTGCTTCTTGTTATAAATACTTCCCCCCCCATTTCTCCTGAGCACATCTGCATATTCCATTCCAGATGAAGTTTCATGCTCACAGTTCAGAGCTGCTTCCTATTTGACTCAGGGACCAACTCCATATCTGTTCAGTTGACATTTCTCCTCCTCCCAATTCTCATCATAGATCCGTGAAGAATGCAACACCAAGATTGATCTTCCAGCAGAGAACAGTAATTCAGAGACTATTGTCATCACGGGGAAAAGAGCCAATTGTGAAGCTGCTCGCAGCCGGATTCTTTCTATCCAAAAAGAGTTGGTAAGAGAAGCAATTTTCCTGAGTTCATGAAAATGTTTAAAGTAGAATGTAGTATAATTTATATATTATACTACAGAGTGGTCTTGACCCGACCAGATAGGTGGGATATAAATGAATTAAATAAATAAAAAATAAATAAAATATCAAATTCAGTTACATTAAAAAAAGTTACATGAAGATTAAATTTCTTTAAAGCAGTTTATTTCAGTCTACTGTTCCCCGGACATTTAGGATGGCAGGGCCTATTATTATTATTAGGTATTATGCAGCCATGTCCCAAAACATCTAGGGAGTACCAGGTTGGGGGCAGCTGCCTTAAAGGATCTGCAGTTCCTCAGCAAAATCTGTTTGGATTGATTTGTGTCCTCTTCTGACAGTTCTGCTAATCTCAAGAGTTCCTGGTGAAGTGCCATCCAGATACCAAAACCAGAAAAATACTGATATGCATCATAGTGATGTCGCTTTTATGCTCTAAACATGTAGTTAGAACTTTCAGCAGCTTCTGCTTGATCACAATCTGCAGAAGCTGCCCCACCAAATAGCTGTGTGCTATGTTCAGGAGATGCTCATTCTTGTAAACCTCTAATAAGAAGGAATTTTTTTAGTTTCAAAAAGTGGTGCCAGAAAAAATAATGCAGAGCTTGTGTGAAAAGTTAACTATTTGTTTACAAGAGAGGAATGTGGAAATAGCTGTGAAAGAGGTCCATGCATTCAATTAATGATTATGCTACTGAGTTACATAATTTGCTGAACATGTGGAAGATGAGGCAATTATCCACCGTATCCTTTTTTGAGTTAGGAAATCTTTTTATTAGATGAAGGCCTCTGAATCAAAAAGAATCCCCATGCAAGGCTTGCCTTACCATGAACAGCATTGTAGCTGGGGTGGATGTAGGCGCACAATGTGCAGCAAAACCAAATGTTGTGGCTGATCCATTTATTCTTTGGGATCAAGCAAGCAAATATATTTCAAGATATGATACTGAATGCCGCTTTTGACTCTTCTGCTCCCCAAGGATTCCAGGTGAACTGACATCTAGGTATGGTATATAGAACAACTCTTCAATGAATAAATTGTGCTCCAATGATTCTTTTCCTAGACCTCTTCCATCTTGTGCACAGAAAGTACAAAAAAGGAATACAAGCAGGCCATTTTGTGTGATTGACTATGGATTGGAGGTTTTTGTAAAGCATCTAAAAGAACATGAAAGGTCATGGTTTTGCACTAGTTGATATTATTTTTCTATTAAACCTGCGACCAGATTGTGTCTCTGAACAATTACTTTCACCCTTTTTACTGTGAGGTCAGTTCCCTAGAACGTTTCCTTAAAGTACTTAAGAGTGCTTCTATGTGAACAGTGATATTAGATGCAGTCAGGGACTATCATTTGCAGATGCATCCAGCTGTTCCTTGGCATAATGTTGTTGTTGTTTTAGATGTATATACTGCCCCATAATCATAAAGCACGCTCTGGACAGTTTGCAACATAATTATGCAAATAACTTGCCAGATCCTTCTCCTCTTCATTCCAAACCTTGAATAAGAATGAATTGAGAATTCCTTGTTTGTTGTTAAGGATAACCGCTCTTTGTACCTTTCTGGTTCTACCGGTACAGCTTTCCCATTTCTCACCCACCTTCTCTTCTCACTCTTTTTGCCCGTTTCTTCACTTTCCCAGGCTAACATTGCAGAAGTGGAGGTCTCCATTCCTTCCAAGCTGCATAACTCACTCATTGGTGCCAAAGGTCGTTTCATCCGCTCCATCATGGAGGAATGCGGTGGGGTTCACATCCACTTCCCCACGGAAGGCTCTGGTAGCGATACTGTCACCATAAGGGGGCCAGCCCAGGATGTCGAGAAGGCCAAGAAACAGCTTTTGCAATTGGCAGAGGAGAAGGTGAGGATTCCGGAATATGGGGAAAAGCAGTATTATTATTATTATAAAATATTAGGCACAGTCAAATCAAAATTATAAAAACATTGACTGGCATTGTATAACAGGTACAAGTTTTAACCAAAAACCCAAGTATCTGTTAAATATTGGCGCAGTATATATGCTGTTCCTAATATTGCTGATTTTTGTAGCTTTAATGATAAGATTTGCAATTGCTTATAATACTGTGTGAAATTTCTTGATATTGTTCCCAAAGCCCCAATGACTACGGGGACCACTGAAGTGTGTTTCATACTCAAGTGAGATGTTTCACTTGCCAGATCTCTATATTTTATTAGGGTTTTTTCCCCCAATTATTTTCAATCCTGAAATATCCTAGAATTGCAATGTCAGTGATCCAGACATTTCTTCATTATGTTAATACTATGTCTGGTGCGTTGTTGTTGTTAGTAGTAGTGTTTCAATTTTTATACTGTCCACCTCGATACTAAAGCCACTCTGAGCAGTTCACAATACACCACAATAACAAAATAAATAATAGTCACAGCAGTAGAGACTGCGCAGTCTATGAAGAGTTCCCTGGCCAGGGCACAGTTTTATATCAAAGTGCATATAAAAGTGACTGAAGTGTTCCTGTTACCAGCAGTTGCCTGGTTTGTGTTAACTTTGGCAGAGTGTGGCTGGATTTATTTAATTTTAAGGCCTAGCTGAGGATACTATAAAGAATGTATTCTTCTGTGCAAACCTACCAAATATTGGGATCTTGCTCGGAGGTCTTGTTTTCTGCATATCTTGCCAAAAATACGTTGGGTGGCGAAACCTGACAGAGCTTCTCTTTAGAATATTGAATTTTCCTCCTTTGTTACTCACTTTTAGACAACAGAACAATGTGCTGGGTTTCCCAAAGGCTTTTAGATTGCTCTTGCCCAAACCTTATTTCATTTGTACCAATTAGTATAAATACTATGTAGCTTTTACTGGGGAGTTTTAAACATTTATTGTTTTCTTGTGATGTTGTGTTATTACTTTTAATCAAAGGGTGTGTTGTAACATTCGTTTAAGATGTTTTATCTTGTCTTTGTGTCCTCCTCTGGGACCCTCAAGAGAGCTAACTAGCTGCAGTAAATAGTAATAGCACAGAGTTTAAAGATGACTAATGACAATGCAGTCAACAGAAGTGGTTTTTTAAAAGGCAGATCAAAAGACATAGAACAAAAAGGTAGAAAACTATTACCAGCATTAATCAGTACGGAACATACAGAAATGGAGCCAGAAATATTCAGCTACTGCTCAGAATGGCTTCACATCCACAACTAGTAATTACAGCAACTACAGTATGTATAAATGCAGTGTTCAAAGACCCCTGAATAGCAGTTGCACCTTCCTCTCATATTCCCTTCTGTGAAGATTCTCAGTCATCCAGGTGAGGTTGTCTGGAAGTTAAGTCATGGCAACTGGACTTCTTTCTTATTAGGTTGGAACGTTTTGCTACCTGTCAAAGTAGCTTCTTCAAAACTGAAAAGGCCTGCTTTAAGCCAGTGGTGTCTATCTTGAGTTTCAGGATGTTTTAGAATAATGTTAGTATTGATGGAGTTTTATATGGTGGTGCAGTTTTAAACTGTAAGGTGACAATTTAGGGACTTGCTCCTTTCTTCCCTTAGAATCATATGTGCAATTAAACTGGCGTTGTATTGCATTAGAAAGTTTACTGAACTCTACATTGTTAAATACTGTATGGCAGTGATCCTCTAGCATTTCAGGCAAGTCTTTCCCAGTTGTTCCAGAGAATGACAGGGATTGAGCCTGGAATCTTTCGCATGCAGGGCATGTGCCCTGCCACTGAGCTATGAACCCTCATGAAGACATCTTGTCAACCTGTGAAAGAATATGCAGTTTGTCTGGGATGTTGGCTTCTGTTGGTCTCTTCAGTGTAATTTCCTGGAACTTGACAGGGCTGAACTTCATTCTCAATTACTCAGAACTGACTCTCTTATTTACTAACCAACACCCTTGACATACAAGTTTGTGTTTTCTTTGGTGTCCTAAATCTGTGGAATGGGTGGTGGATCTGACTAGGCTGACTTTAATTGCGTTGAGTTTGCCCCTGCTAAATTATTTGCGAGTAAATTGTTTGGCATCTAGCTGAACTATATCAATTCATTTAACTACTGTATTGATTTTGGACATCTTCATCTCAGATCAGGTATGATGCAGATGCCAGGACAGGAGCTCTCAAAGCCACAGCTTGGAAAAAATTACTTTTAGACTATATTTTTTGGGGAATTGTATTCCAAAAAAGTAACTTTTCCAAGCTCCACACAAAACTTACTTATTCCAATGTACCTTATTACCTGGCCTTTTGCTTCTAACAGATTTCATATTTAACTTTAAAAAATATTTCTTCCTGTTCACAGAGTAGTCATGATCTTAATACTGTAGTTCTTTGTAGCAAGATAAATTGGGAGTGTTATATGGGTCAGTTTTGGGGGGAAAGCATCTTTCCAAAAGCACAGTAGGGAGGAATGTATTGATAATCAACACCTCATACCCACTTGTTGCCTCAGCTTCAAGCCAATACAATGCCTGTCTGAGTAGCTGATCAGGGTGTCGTGCCACAGTTCAGACTGAGCAGAGATTCAAACCCAGATTTTCCTTGTCCATATGCAACATACACTCATTTACCCTACTCTACCCTTTATGGAAGACATGTAACTTAGGATAGAGTTTAACATGTACAAGATTCCACGTTCAATCCCTGACATCTCCAGGCAGGACTAGGAAAAGTTGCAGTCTAAAACTCCACAGGCTAATGCCAGTCAACGTAGACAGTTATATTGAGTAAGAGGAATTTATAGTCTGAGGAAACTTCCTACATTCTACCATCATTTTATTATTCTAGTGGCACATATATTTAGGTATGATCCCTCCTGAAATAACCATAGCTGCACATGCATGGTCAGAATGCTACAGACTCTTCCCTCCTGAAATAACCATAGCTGCACATGAATGCTACAGAATGCTACAGACTCTAATAGAATAGGCAAAATAAGTACATACAGGCATTGACTTGCTTATTTCACATGATTTGTACAGAACATGTAGTTTTGCTTTTTCTGAAGTAGATTTTCCCCCGAGAAAACATGCACAGCTCTGCTTCTGTGTATTATGTACTCTTTACCTTAACTGTTCTAAAATAAAACTTTAACCTGATTTATTTTGACCATCCCTATTCCAAAGCTATTAATCTCCACAAATGTGCATTTACCAAAGAATAAGTTAAGTTAGTCTCTCACAGTTAAAAAAGCAAAGAGAATTTTGAAGCCATAGTCATTAATACTGTTGATTTGATTTTTATTGGATTTTTATATATTCCTTCTATATAGCAAACAAAGAGTTATACTGTAGAATTGCGTGCCAGGCCGGAATACCATAAATTCTTGATTGGCAAAGGAGGTGGCAACATTCGCAAAGTACGTGATAATACTGGTGCAAGGATTATCTTCCCCACTTCAGAGGACAAAGATCAAGAGCTGATTACCATCATGGGAACAGAGGAAGCTGTCAAAGAGGCCCAGAAGGAGCTGGAAGTGCTCATCAAGAATCTGGTGAGGAATGGATTTGTTTACTATATAAGAAATTGCCTTTGGATGTTGGCATCAACTTATTGGCTGTCATTGTTCTGGAAAAGTCTCACTAGTGCTATTCATATGTGTATTTGCAGGATAATGTAGTTGAAGATTCCATGACTGTGGATCCCAGGCATCACCGTCACTTTGTCATCCGGAAAGGGCAGGTGCTACGGACCATTGCAGAAGAGTATGGGGGTGTGATGGTCAGCTTTCCACGCCCTGGCACACAAAGTGACAAAGTTGCCCTTAAAGGAGCAAAGGATTGTGTTGAGGCAGCAAAGAAACGCATCTTGGAGATTATTGATGACTTGGTGAGTGTTCAGTTTAGAAGGGCTCTCTTTTCCATCAGCACTGTATGCTTCTTTGTACAGCATGCGGATATGCACAGCTGTGAGGCATTTGACATATCAGATTATTCAGGCTGAGGAATCAAAGAAATAAGCCCCTTGGGCCTGTTTCAGGCTTCTCGCAGGAATTCTTAATTTCTAATGACACCCAGGCGAAAAGGGATTTGCTAGAACAGTCTGGGCATGAAGAGCCTGTCTTGATTGGGTCTACTTCAGGGAGTCGTTAAGGTTTTTTTAGTAGTGGAAGAATTCCAGATTACCATTCTTTGATTATGATTCTTCTTTTAAAAAATGTAATTAGAAGGGTAGCCTTGCAGTCATACATTTTTAAGGAATAAATAGAAAAGAAGGGAACCCTTCTTTTCATAACTTTGTAATAAAAAATTCTTCACTCAGATCTCCAGAATTATACTGGGGAGATGGGAAAGGGGTATTCATATTCAGAGACACATGTCTTTTTTTGATATAGCATGGACTCTCCCTTCGCTTATTGATGCTCCCAAATTATTTGGTGAGCCCTTCATAAGGCCATTCTGTGTACATTATTACAGGGCATGGAAACCAAGTAGTGATGTTAAAGTAAACATTCATGTTTCTTTAAGCCTGCAGGTGTTTGTTGAAGCTGATACTGAGCATTCTCAGGAAGCTTTGCATCTCTTCTCCTTTGTAGCATGCAATGATGGGGTGGACTTTACTAGGTTTTTAACCATTTTAAATGTTTTTAATTATTTGATATCTTTTTAGCTATTACTGTAGTTTAATTGCTTTTAAATCTGTAATATTTTAGTATTATTTGTTTGAACAATGAGAGCTGCCTTGAGTTACCTCACTGAGAGAAGAGTGACCTACAAATAATCCTAATGAGATAACAAAATAAGTCAGATTGGACTTCCTTATACAAACTGGACTGCAAAGGTTTTTATACCAAAAGTGCCAGTCGTCCTCCTGTGGTATTTTTAGAAGATTGATTAAGGTGGAGCTTTGCAAAGAGGCAATTAAAAACATTCATTGAGGGAAAACTCATAGACCTATGTTTGACTGTCACAGTATGGTTTTTAATGCTTTTTTCTCCTTTCTTCTTTGGTTGATAGTTACATACTTATATTGTGTTACAGATTTTCATATTTCTATTATATTGTTTGTTGTGATTTTCTGTTTCTTTGTACACTGACCGGGGTAGTGGGCTGCCACTAAGTCAGGCAGTATCAAAACAAAACAAAACGCAGCATGCTTGGACGGAAGAACAAATTAGTGTTTTCAGAGGTTCACTTGGTTCATTTTGTAGGCACATCCATAGTAACAAAGTGAGGGTTCTGACCTTCTTCCTCATAAACATATCATTATTGTTTTTGTAAGTTAACTTTTTGGTGCTGTCTTTTCAGAGGGAGAGATTATTTGGGGAAACCACCTCTGTAAGTCTTCTTTTCTTACATTTATAGGAAGCCCAAGTGACAATTGAATGCACCATTCCTCAGAAGTATCACCGCTCTATTATGGGCCCAAAAGGTTCCAGGATTCAGCAGATCACTCGAGATTATGGTGTTCAGATCAAATTCCCAGACCGGGAGGAGAATGTTGGTATGCAGTCATACTAGCCTGCCCATAACAGCACATGTGTGGGGAATAAAGATGATCCCATATTTACATAGATGCATTTGGAACTTTGAAATGTATGGTTCTGTGACTGAGAATGGAAGGACCTGAAGTGATTATTCCTTCCACTTTCTTTTAGCAATATGGTTTTCTTTACATTTTGATCAGGGGGCTAAATGTGGCTTTTAACTGCAGTAAAAGCAGCACTTTAAGATTTCATATGTCAGCCACAATGCAGTGTGGAACTGATGATGAGAATCAAAACATTAATTGCTTCCTTGACTTGTCGAACACCACTATCCTAGCACCTACTGAAAACTGACTGTTTAAGGGGTAACTCTTTGTAGCTGTTGCATAGAAATTAGATTGGCAGTACTAAAACTTGCTCTTCAAATATTAAATCAAAGATGGAGACATCCCTATCGGAAACAAAGCAGACTTGCACATGGCATGAAACATGTTGGTTCTATTTTTGGTAGGGGAGAATGACACGTGTCATTCTGGACCTAGCTTTAATGCCCTTTCCCTGCAAGCTGCCATTTTACAGTGTTGAACAATCCAACGTCCTAATTACTGTAGAGAGAGTGTGTTACATGGCAGCTGAGAACCTCAAGCTAACCAGTCATGAACTTATTCCCTGTTTTCATTTCTGCCATCACAGCTCCCACAGCAGAGCTAGCAGTGCAGGAGGATGGCAAAGAGAACGGTGAAGCAAAAGAATGCAAGGAAACAGATCCTGGTTCCCCAAAGAAGTGTGATACCATCATCATCTCTGGTCGTCAAGAAAAATGTGAGGCAGCAAAAGAGGCCCTGCAGGTAAGTGAGGTGGATGCTGAGAATCTTCGGGATTGGGGAGCTGCCATATTTTAAAAATTAGGTGTGGATAGCTTTGCTCTCCTCAGTGATCCAGCCATACATAAACAAAACAAGTTGTTAAGTGTGGATGATGCCTCTGAGGACATAGTTTCACTATGGCAGTAAGACAGTATTGAATCATGGCTACTAGCAGAGGCAGGATGGTAGGCCGGATAGATGAGGTGTGATGAAATATTGGCCCCTGGAGATAACAGGTTGTGGAGTATTTTATGCAGAATATGCCTTTTTTAAATTTCTCTAGGATCTGAGATTTGTTAGCTTCCCGTACTGCTGAGGATGAGAATTTGTGTGATGTGTTCTGCAGCCTAAGTGGAACTTCTACTTGCCATTTACAAATTTATTCTTTGGGGGAGAAGACCATTGTTGGCCTAAGTTTCACTCTTGCTTTTCAGGCTCTTGTTCCAGTTACCATTGAAGTGGAAGTTCCCTTTGATCTTCATCGTTTCATCATTGGTCAGAAGGGTGTTGGCATCCGGAAGATGATGGACGAGTTTGAGGTGTGTGGACTCTTAGATTGCCTTTCCTTTTTCAGACCAGGCTGGGCCACACATGGCCATTGGGTTGCAAGTAGATCTCAGTGATCCCTTTTTGCAGCCCATGCACTTCTCTCCAGTGCCACAGAGGAAGATGATGGACGAGTTTGAGGTGTGTGGGCTCTTAGATTGCCTTTCCTTCTTCAGACCAGGCTGGGCCACACAAGGCCATTGGGTTGCAAGTAGGTCTCACTGATCCCTTTTTGCAGCCCGTGCACTTCTCTCCAATGCCAAAGAGGAAAAAAAATCTTGTTTCATTAAAGCAAGAAGAATCATTCCATTTCGCACTGAAGCAAGGAACTGGGTTGTAGGTGGGTCAGAATTTCATCCCAGACTTATTGAGAGTGCCTACCCTGCTTTGGGCTTTGGAAACTGATTTATCTTCCCTGTTTTGCTTCAAGGAAAAATCCAATTTCCTTGTAGCTGCCTTGCTTACAAATTATGTGGGGGCAAATTTGGAATGGGATACTCGTACTAATTATCCAGAAATGTGCAAAACTGTTGAGAATTCAGGTATGATTTTCCTATCATATGCTTGCAAATCCATCTGTGATGTACAGTCGTATTATTCTTTGCAGTTTGTTTTCAGCTGCATTTTATGCTATGGAGAAGTACTATAAGGAGTCTTAAAACAGGCATATGATATATTTAAGCTTGTAGTGTGTTTTGTTGAGCACTTAGGAGCTTTGAAGTACTGATGAGCCCTTGGGTACAGCCTTCTAAAATCCCACAGAATGCCTATTCTTAAACTGATGATTGTTTGCTTGGATTTTTAGGTCAACATCCAAGTTCCTGCTCCAGAGCTTCAGTCCAACATAATCTCTATAACTGGGCTTGCTACTAATCTTGACCGTGCCAAAGCCAGGCTTCTGGAAAGAGTGAAGGAGCTGCAGGCTGAACAAGAAGATCGGGTATGTGTTGTAGTCACGTTTGTTTGTGTTTTTACCCTCCCTTCGGGTATGTGTTGTAGTCACGTTTGTTTGTTTGTGTTTTTACCCTCCCCCTTTCCTTTAAAAAGACCCAAGGCAGCTTACCTCAGCAAAAAGCAATATTTAAAAGCTAAAAACAGTAAATATACAGATATTTTAAAAGAATAAAACAAGTATTATGTTACATGGGTAATTAAAATCAATACTAAAAACACATTCAGGAGCAGTGGAGCATTACAATGCCTACAAAAGCCCCTTTTGGACTCTAAGGAAAAGCTTGCTTGAAGACAAAGATCTTTGCCTGTTTGTGGAAGGACTGCAAAGATGGGGCTGGGCTGGCCTCCTATGGGATCCAGCTCCAGAGTTTTGAGCAGTGACAGAGTAGGTGTCTCCACCAGACCACCTGTGAAGATGGTGGAAAAGAGAGAAAAGCCTCCTGTGATTATTTTAATACCCAGGCAGGCTCATAAAGGGAGATGCAGTCCTTGAGATAACTTGAACCCAAGCTGCTTAAGTCTTTATAGATTAGAACCAGCACTCTGAACCACCTGCAAATGGATTGGCAGGCCTTGGAGCTGCTGTTAACTGCTAATCTCTCTCAGCTGCCTTTACTTATTAGAACAACATTCAAACAAAATATTAAAAATATATTTAATTGACAGTGTCATCATGGCAAGGGACTGCAAGATCTTGGCCACCGTTTTCATTCTGAAGCATGAACATTTGGGTCCAGGCAGCCAGCTGTGAGAAAAAGCTTGGTGTGGATATGATCTGTGGTGCCAGAAATGTGTAAAGGAGCAATGGGGAAGACTGGGGCGGTGGGGAATGGATTTGATACTTTGAGGTGGAATGTCTTGATATGGTTGTTCTTAAATAAGGAAACTGTGTGAGGCTATGTGTTATGTTCTTATCTGCAGACAGAGCAATTGTTTCATTCTAATGATGGCACTGAATGAAATTCTTGTAGACCTTATTTTGTTGCAGTTCTTCTGTGAGTTGGATCTTGTCTTATAGAGGGTTGTGTTGGAGCCATAGATAGTCCTCCATGGAAAAGATAAAAACCGTTTGTAATCAATGAATAGGAATAAATCTGCTCTCACAGACAAGCCTCACGTTAGCAGAGTTGGAGATTACTTTTAAAAAGGATTTGAGATAACTTGACTAGCAGAAACCAAATGGGGTGATTAGAGAGTTGGATAGTCTGGCGCTACCTTACACAAAGTTTCATCTTTTTTGTGAAGGCAGTGTTTATTTAGAATGCTCTTATAATGCTTTTTGTGCCAGAGATTTCTCAAGATGGTTTACAAGATAAAATTATTAAAACAAGTAAGTAACAAGTAGCAGCATAAAACAGTTTAAAATAATAAAAGTAAAAACTCAAGCTTATAAAATAGAAGTGCATATTCATTAGCATGGGGCCACCACAGAAAAGGCCCTGTCTCTTGTGCCCACCAGCCGATCTTATTTCAGGACAAATGAGCAGGTCTGATCTTAGGGCTTACAGTGATTCAGCAAGTTCATAGGTGCAGCCTCCAAGATGGCTGTCATCTGAGAATCCCCTCTTGAATAGCAACGTTTATATTGGTTAAAGTTGTCACAGATTTTCCTAATCTGAGACAATGAGTAGGTAGACCTTCAAAACTATTTTTCTTTGTTATTCCAGGCCTTGCGAAACTTTAAGTTGACTGTTACTGTGGATCCCAGATATCACCCTAAAATCATTGGCAGGAAAGGTGCTGTAATCACTCAAATCCGCACAGAACATGATGTAACTATACAGTTTCCAGACAAGGATGATGAATCCCAGGTGAGAAACATGTGTGTGGAGAGAGTTGTAGATTAGAAGATGCTCCCTTTGAACAATATTGCCATTTCTTCTGTTTCATTTGCTGTATCTCTAGAAGCTTTTGCTAAAGAGGACCTGTATTATATATCTTAGTGGTTGGAGAGGCACTTGGCACTAACTAGCACAAACTTATTCCTCAGGCCCAGGATCAGATCACCATCACTGGATATGAAAAGAATGCTGAAGCTGCCCGAGAGGCTATCATGAAGATTGTTGGAGAACTGGAGCAAATGGTTTCTGAAGACATCACTCTGGACCATCGTGTTCATGCCCGCATTATTGGGGCACGTGGGAAAGCTATCCGCAAGATCATGGATGAGTTCAAGGTAAGTAAAGGATTAATGTTGTTTGGCATACAAGAAGTAAGAACACTTATTGTTCGCAGCATCCACATTCTTTGTGTTGTTCCATTAAATTTCTGCAAGGAGTCCAGACATTATGGACATTTCCTCACAACTTTATGATTGCATTTTGTGCCCCAAGACAGACTGTGGGGGGGAGCATTAAGCTTCATATATGCGACATTAGGTCCACTAATCTCTAGACTGGAGTTGATTTGATATATGCAAACCAAGCCAAATGATATGGCAGATATTACTATATGGTGCACGAGCAATGAAACCCTCTTACTATAAACAGAACATCTGCTTGGTTGCAGCAAAATAAGTTTTTGGGGATTGCAACTCCTAGTAGCCATGGGGGATTCTGCACATTTAAGTCCAAGAAGTTGCCCTTGGACTTGTTTATTTGCAAGCATTCCTAGTTCTAGTTTAATTGCAGAGCAAAGAAATATTTGAACTGTGTTGGCTGGGAGATTCTGGGAGGTGAAAAGTAACTTTTCAGAAAAGAAAGGAAAAAAGAAAAACAGGCCTAACCAAACTGACATATATCAATGATTTTTTTTTTAAAGAAAGGGAAGTACAGTGTCCTCCCACCGTTACTTTCAGAATTACTCTGAAATTACCAGAAAAAACTCTGTATTGAGATGAAATTCTTTAAGTGCAGAACAAATCAAATTCTGATGAATGAGCTTACCCACATTTGGATATGTTTTTCACTCCATTACTGCACTATAAATAGGGCCGTATTTAACTGCTGGCCTGTACAGTTTTGAGTATAAATAGACTTTTCTGTATAGAGATGAATTCTCACAAGCATCTTCTATTCAGATATTGCATTCATCTTTCCTTACCAGTTTTTTTGTGTTTGAATGTGCAGAACATTGAGTGAAGTGGGAAAGAGACAAAGAACTTTTGTCTTCCACCTTACTGAAATTTTCCTGAAACCTTCTTATTCCAGGTGGATATCCGTTTCCCCCAGAGTGGGGCTGCTGATCCAAACTGTGTGACTGTGACCGGGCTCCCTGACAACGTGGAGGAAGCTATTGATCATATCCTGAATCTGGAGGAAGAATATGTGAGTACAGTACTAAGATTGGTAGATGAATAGCTTTAAAGGGTTTACCCTCTTTTTGTTCAAATACAAGCATTCAAACAAAACAAGAGCATCAAAAAGGGGGAGAGGAAAGTGAGAGGATAATGAAGGAAAGGAAAAGAAAAATGAGAGGGTCCACCAACACCAAATGAACATTGAAATTTCACCTTATTTAAACTTAGAAGCCTTACAATTCAATATGTACATCCCAGAATTGTTGAAGATAGGTCCAGCAGCAGCAGTGAACAACAGAGGATCTTGTTCAGGTATTCCAATATTGCTGAGGAAGACGGCTTCTCAGACCAGTAGGGCAATCTTTTATTTTTCCAGTCTTGCAAAATTGGCCATTTAGCAATTAGTGTGGTCCATCTTCATTGCCCTAACCTTGGGATCCAAGATGCCAGCACTTAGCAGAACACAGACAGCTGGAATCTTTAGTGAGAAATCTAATGCAGAATTAATATGGATCATCTGTTTCATCAAAGGGTTACATTTGAAGCTCCACAGCTCCAGCAATAGTTGTGTGCCTGAACCAGAAAAGCATACGGTACACTCTGAGCAAAAAGCTGTTCAGATAACACAAAACGGAGGTCCTTGCCTCTTGAAAAGAGATACTGTAAAGGAGGGAAAGGGCAGCCAAAATGTTTGAGGAAATGCAGTCCATTTCTAGTTAGAAAGATTTTAATATTTGGCTATTCAAACCAGAAAGAAGGCAACTCATGGGAGATAGGCTAGCGAAGTATAAAATTATACATGGTGTGGAGAAAAATTAGAGAGAACCTTTTTCTCTCTTAAGAGTCCTCTACTGAAGTTCAGTAGTGGGAGATTTAGGAAAAATAAAATAATGTGCTTCTTCACACCATGTATTGTTAAACTGAGGAATTGCCACCACAGGATGATGGCTATTGACTTGGACAACTTTAAAATAGATAAACCCATGGAAATTAGGGTCATCAGAGACACCAGAATGGATATATATCATTAGAAGCAACCTGCATCTACTTATTAGCTCCTAGGAAAGAAGAAGGGCAGTGTGCAGTTGCACTGTCCCACTGGTGAGCATCCTATAGACCTCTGGTGGCCACTGTGTGAACAGAATATTGAAGTAAACAGGTTTATGTAAATGCTTTCCACTGTCAGTCAGAAACTGAGAGTTTGAATTCTGCATTCCTTTCACACGTAACCTCTGCAGTTTGCATCTCTTCTGTGTGGTGAAAGCCTCTCCAAATGGATTACTCTTGTGAAATTTGTTGCAGCTGGCCGATGTAGTTGACAACGAGGCAATGCAAGTCTACATGAAACCACCTGCTCATGAAGAAGCTAAGGCTGCCTCAAAGGGATTTGTTGTGAGAGATGCCCCTTGGACAGCAGGAAACACTGAGAAGGTAGGTGTTGCTTGCACCAAAATTGAGGCTAGGGGCACAACCTTTCCACCCCCCAGGGCAGCCTCAGGTACTGGCTGAGGGAGAAGGGTTTGCATATCTATGTATGTATGCATACACACACCCTCAGTATATGAGGATTTTACCTCTCTCCTTGCAGCCTGCTAAGATCTCAGGGTTGCAAGGGTGGAAGTAAAAGCCTTCCCCATCTCCCACTAGCATCCACTCATGTTGCTGCTAGTGGCAGGCAACAGCAGTACTGGAAGCTTTTAATGATTTACAGTGCAGCAATAGTTAAGTTCTCCCATGTGTTTTCTTGCAGGCCCCTGACATGAGCAGTTCTGAAGATTTCCCAAGCTTTGGAGCTCAGGTGGCCCCAAAGACTCTGCCTTGGGGTCCCAAGCGGTAATGACTTGGAAACAGCAATCTTGTCCAGCCACCTGCCACAGGGTTTCCCTTTCTGAATTCTGACCTGGTGGCTGGATCTAGTGCAGATTGCCCAATGGGGGTCTCTTAATGAAACTAGAGTGCTACCCCTCTTGAGGTTTTCTAATGTCCTGTGCTTTAGGCCTCACTATGCTTCAGTTTGACATTTTCCTTTCTCCTTGCCCTGGAGGAAACTTCTCATGTTGAATCCAAACTAAAATACATTGTTTTTCTTCCAAATTTCAAACTCTCACTTCATGTTGGCCTTGCTGTAGTAGCCAGACCTCTGCAGATACATCTATAAAGCACTCTAGCCTCCTTTAGGAGATCTCCTTATACTGCAGCTAGGAATCTACTTCCTGTCTCTCAACCTCAGGAAATGCATTTCCTTGACTTTCTACAAAGCCAAAATATTTGCTCTTTCCCTTCCTGCTCTGTTTGTCCAAAGCCTTACCTTTGTAGAGTGCAATCATTTCCTCCTCTCAACTACCATCCCTTTCTCATCCCCCCAGTATTGGCCAGAATGGGTGGGAAACATTGGAAGCCACCCCAAAAGCTCCGACAGGATCGTGGCCTTGTCTGTGCTAGTCTGCAGCACAGAGCACACCAAAATTCTTCATTTATCGGTGTGAGTTTTGAATTGCAGCTTGTCACCAGTCTTCTCCCTCATCACATTCTTTTGTTCTTCCTTCCCAACAGTAGTATGGCTAAGTGGAGCCAGAAAACTGACAGTATTATCGGGTCTCACAGAACTTGGTTGAACCAAAAGTGCCATGGTAGCATGCTGCAGAAAAGGGTGGGTGAATTAGCTTAGAATGAAGAGAGTACATTTCCCACCTCCCCTGCCCCTACTTGAGTGTAATGGCATTTACATACCAGGGTTAAAGAGTATGTCTTTTGCTTTTTACTATTGCCTTCTTTCTACCTCAAGCCAGTATGACAGTGGCCTGCTTCTTCAGACAAAGCTCTTCTTGCTTCCTGTTATCATGACTATTGTTCCTCTCCGAGGAGTGTCTCTGTGGCTTCAGCCAAGGTATATGGTATCAAATGTCCCTTCCCGCAAAGACGGTCTTAATCACTGCCACGCAATTTTGCCTGTACTCTTGTGACAAAGGTTAGGCCTTGGAGGGAGGCAGGTCGGTAACCAGTGGCACTCACTTAAATCGAAGCAGCTGATTGCAGTTTAGTCTTAAAAATGAAGCCACTCCTGGGGAGGGGAGGGGAGGGGAAGGAGAGAACACTGATTATGAAGTGATGAATCTTTGGCCCTTTGTGTGTTTGGCCTTTTAACTGCCAGAAGCCCCAGCCAGCATGGCCAATGATAAAATTTGGGAGTCACCTGAAGGGCTAAAAGTTCCCTAACCTGATCTACTACATTCTTCAAAAGCTTTTTGTAGTCCTGCAGCAAGCGTTCTGTCCTGTTCTCTTAGGAGCGGTAATTGCTGCTTTCTAGCTGTTGCCATAAACTGATACAAGGCTACTTGTATTTTATAGCTGCTCTTCCTGCCATTACACAGTTTTCTGTCCTTTTCCTGCCGAAGGTGCTGGTGGCAGTGCTGGGTCTGGTGCCAATTCTGCTCTCTGCTTCCCTTCCCACCCACCCCAGAGCTTTTCTGAGCCATTAGCTAAGATCCTAGCCCCAAGGTCATTTATGCCCCAGAATGCAGACGGGGCATAGGATGATAAAGTCCTTGTCTTTCGAGACCTTTTGTGCCCAAGAGAAAGGAAAAAGCCTCTTGCTTTTGCTAAGACTGGGTGAAGGGGCAGAAATCATTTCTCTAAGGCAATTCCACCTGGGGCCAGGACAAGCCCTATTGCCACCTGAGCAGGAGACTGAAACAGGGTAGTAGTGTGTAATGTCTTGCCAGTGGTACCTGGTGTCCTGAATGTCACACATCACTTGCACATGTGTTTTAGGCTTGAACTGCCATTGAGCATGGCTCTAACCCTGTCATTTGTTCCAACTGTTGAGTGTACTCTACCCCTTTGTTGCCTGTAGCGTGCAGCAGATGCTCTATGGAGGTGTGCTCCATGTCCTCTTAATGTCTTCCATATTATGTTTCCATGGCAATGATCCCTTGGCCTTAACTTTGGAATTTGGAGATTATATGCAAAACATGTATAAAGGCTCATGAGTATGGATGACACTGGAATTTTATAAATTCTAAAAAATAAAACCTGAAACAGCTTTGAGTAGTTTATATTCCTTTTTTGTATACATGTATTTAAAAGCACGTGTCAATCAGTCAAATTCAAGATTCCTACCTGTCTTTCTGAAAAATACTGAGCAGCTGCAAACTCCAGTCTTTCTAGGTTCTTACAAACTGTAGTCAAAGAACTTGTTATACCTAATTTCAGCTGTTTGTATTGAACTGTTGACAGGCCTTTTCGTCCATTTATTGTCAGGAGAGTTACTATTCAGACATGATTACACTCACAAGTCTTTGGCAAATGCCATCTTGCTGAAACTTGTGGCTTCAACCAAAAGCCGATCCAAATGGTGACGCAGAAGAGAATCACGGTCCTGTAATGCTTTTGCAGAAGGGAAGGAAGCATAGGACTTCTTGGGTGGCTGAGAAATAGCTTTCACAAATGCCTCTGTCTCAGTCAAGTAATCTATTTTAAACTTGTCATTGCATGCTAAGCAGACTCCACAACTGCCATCCAGTAATCTGCCCTTAATTCCACTACAACTGTACTGGTTCTAAGGGAGCAACCTTCAAGCCGTTCTAATGTTGCAGAGTTTTACCTCACTGGAAAATGTCTCACTCCAATCCAGCATTTTTACCGTTCCCCACTGAACAGGAACAGAGCAAAGTACTAATCTATACTTTATTCTAGACTTCAAAACTTTATAAATACTTACTAAAGTATATCTTTATTTGATAGGGGAAGACTCGGAGCTCTTTGCATTTACTATCAACTGATACTTGGGCTGTTCTCAGTCTATTAATCTGTTCTCAGTCTATGTCTTGGACTATCAGATTTTTCTACCAAATGACCTCAAACAGCTCCATTGACTGATGGGCATATGAAATTCCTGAGGTTTCAAGCTCTAGTTTACATTGTGACACACAGAATATATGGATCTTGGGAAACAGGCAGTGTTGCACAAGCTGAACTAGGCTGCTTTCTTTTCCTAACAAACATTGTTGCTCCAAGAGCTTAGTAATTTGGCTTAGACAAAATGCAGTCTCTCTTTCTGGATTCCCATTATGGTGCCTTTTCTGCCAGAGGGGTCGGCTTGCTCACATCTATCACCTCAATGAGAGCCTGTTCAAAAGAAAAGAAGAATTTAGATACACAAGAAACTCTCATCACTCTTGTATTGACTAGAATTGATGTACATTGCAGCCCAACAACCTCTGGAGGGGCTACAAGTTACTCCTTCATGGCCATGTAGGATGGGGAGAAAGCTGGAAGTGCTGAGGTCATAGAGCTTTCGTTAGTCATAATTGTAAGAAATAATGTATGACTGAAATTGTTGTTGTTTAGTCGTTAAGTCGTGTCCAACTCTTCGTGACCCCGTGGACCAGAGCGTGCCAGGACCTCCTGTGCCACTGGACCAGAGCATGCCAGGCCCTCCTGTGCCAGTTCCTCCCAGAATTTGGTCAAATTCATGTTGGTAGCTTCGATGACACTGTCCAACCATCTCATCTGAAATACTGACATTCAAATCGGACACAACTTGATGCTATGATAGTTAATTTGCACCTAGGATTCTCCATAATATGAAGGGCAATAGGATAATTGATTCCTGTTTAAAAATAATATAATGTCAGTTACAGCTTCATTTTAATATTCAAAAAAGGATGTGTCTTTCACTCTAAGTGTGATCAGTTATAATTTGCCCTTCCACATTTATTCGGGTAAGCTATAATTAACTAATTACTGCTGGAACGCTACCACTTAAAACATGTGCGGTGCTTGACCAGAGAAGAAATAATAAGGCTGCCTGCACACCCCGTCTAGCAATGACTATAGTCAGCAGCATCTCTGCAGATTCTACAAACATCATTCTGTTCATGTTTTAAGCATTTCCCAAAAATTGACTCAATTTCCTCTGCACCAAAAATGGTTTAAACTGCTCCCTCCCGCCCCCCCAAAATGTAAGTTCTTCACATTTACCAGCTTCCAAAGGAGACATACCTTAAAACAAATTGGGAGTCTGTATTTATAGGAAAAGTATTAGGATGGGAATATTAATAAATGTAATAAAACATTGGGATACACAAGGCTATTAAACTAGCGAAATGTGTAAGAGATGAAGTGTTCTTGCTTGTATGCATCTGAATATTATGGTTCTTTCAATATTCTACATTTAGCATTTGTGGTCCTCCAGATATTGCTGGATTCCCTATTCAACAGAGCCAGTGATGAATGTTGGTTGGAATTGAAGCATCAACATCAAGGGGAAGGCATAAATTGTCATCCACTAGTCTTAATCTGCATGGGGCAGAAAAGTATTAAGTGCTAATTTCCACCTCAGAATGCATGGTACTTAATGGAAGAGGGAGGAAAGCAGAGGCCATGGCAAAGCAGCTTAAGGCCCACATCTCTGATGGTTAATCAATCTTGCAGCTTCACCTTGCTTTCTACAAGGGAAGCATTTATTCAAGGAAGACAGGTGACAGATGCACAGCATAACAGCCACTGACCCAACCTAGGTGGATGCTGTTAAATGCTTGAGGTTCTTAAGAATGCAGTGTAGAAATGTAATATGTATCAATTCACTATTTACCTTATTTTCAGCCAAAGCTTGTTTAGCTAGATAATGTTCTCGCTTCACTTTTATCTCCACCACTTCTGGAATGTCAGGCACCATCATATCTATCATCCGTGCAATGAAGAAAACCACATGCTGAAAAAAAGGGCAGAAAAAGGTTGGAAGAAACCAGTAGCCTATCTCATCCTGGATAGCAGCAGGCAAATGCATTAATACTGCAACCCCCCCAAAAAAACACCTCCATACAGGATGTGAATAGTTATGTTCCCATTTCCTCTAACTCTGGTTATATACATCTAACAGACAGGGTGGGGTTTTTTTTGTTTTGTTTTTTTGGGAGGAGGTCAGACATCTAACAGAAAGGTAGTGTTTTTGTTTAAGTGTTGTCAGTATTGGCAGTAGACTGCATGCATCTTAAAGGACTGAAACTTGACAACATTTACATTGTATAGAACTCAAGGCCAGGTAGTTAAGCTGACAATGTGAATATGCACAGACCAAGCTACTATAGGACAAAATGCTAGAATATCAGAATTCTGTTTCTCCTTGCATCAGCTGGGACAGAATTCTCACTAACAGTTACATTCCCAAGGTACATGTAATAATGTAGAAAAAGGATCTGGATTCATTGTGGATCTTACAGATCTGGATGGAGACACTGCATAAGATAAGAGGAGGGCAACATATGGCCTTCAGCTTGCTCTTGGTCTGCAAATGACCAGAAAATGTTTCTGTAAGGAACAATCTGTTCCTCCCCTGGAGCTCCTTGATGGGGAGGAAGAGAGAGAGAGAGACCAAAAAGGAGAGAGTTTACTTGACCTCTTGTGGCTCTGACCGGTTCATCACTGGCCTCACCTGATTTCTCTGCAAGCCTGTTGCCCCTAGCAGATTACCCATGAGGGAATGAGCCTTTTAACAATATATATACCACTGCTTCCGGACTGGATAAAATAAATAAGCCGCCTAGAGTGGCCTTAAGTGGCTAGATAGGCGGGATATATAGAAATAAAGAAATAAAGAAATTAATAATAATAATAATAATAATAAATAAATAAATAAATAAATAAATAAATAAATAATCCAATCCGGCAGCAGTGGTTGGCATTTGTAGAACAAGGCACAAGCTAGTGGCACTGTACTTAAGATCAGTGACTGTCACTTGAACTGGGAGTAGCAACAATCATGTCTTTATGTATTCTTCAGTTTTCTAGTTCATCTGAATCAGTTTTACTAAATTCTGCAGAAACAATGTTGTAAAATTCTTACTGTACCCCACTGGCCATCCAGACAATATCAGTATAAAATAGGACTATCACCATCTTAACTAACAATTGCATCACATTGATTGGGTTTGGATATGTGATGACACATGGATGAAGTAATAGATGAATATGGCATTCCCTTGGAAATAAGACTACTATTAAATCAAAGGACATGAGGAGCAGTAGATAGGAGTAAGCCACTAAAAAGATGAACTGGGTGGGTGAAGTTTGAGCCTACCACCATGACCTTTTGCACAAAGTTTGCTCCTCAGCATGCAATACAACAGGGATAGAGAACTTCTGGACATGCCCCCCCCCCAAAGATAGCTTGGATACAACTTTCAAAATCCCTTACCACTGGCAATGCAGTGCGGGACTGACAGAGAAGTTGCTGGTCAAAATATCTGAGGGGAAGATATTCCCCAACTCTGGAATACAGCTCCAGGTTGCACAGATGTGAATCGTGAGGAGACTTTGAAGAAAACGTACCTCAAATGCAATTATGAAACCCAGCCGGATGGCAAGGAGATTCCAATAAGCTAGTGAATACCTGCCACTTTGTTCTCTATAGGCTCGGTACCTGCAGAGAGACAAACTGCCACTTCAAGAACAGGACAACAATTAATGCTTCCAAGATACAAATGAACATTTCCAGAGGGATAGCAATGTTATTCTGTTGCAGCAAAAACAAGTATTGTGGCAATAAGGAATTAAGGGTACCACAAGACTGCCATTTTTGTTGCTTTCCCATATCTTCCTATAAGCCACCACCAAGTTCTGTTTCACCAAACAACAGGGACTGCAATTAATCTTTTGCAGTCATGTATCCCGTCCACTTAGTTATGAGGCAAGAAGCAGCCAGACATTGGGATTCCTAAAGTTGCAGTCCTGTGCAAGGTTATTTAGAAGCAAGTCCTGTTGAACATACTTGGGATTTACCTTTAACTAATCATACAAAGTAGGAGACCATATGTTGCTGTATGTGATTTAACCTTCATGATGAATCTTAAATGGTAAATTAAGCCACTTTGCACTGATGGTTGTCATAGTAGCTCTATTTTATGTTAGGATATCTCCAACAATTCAGGTACTGTGTATTGTTCCACAGGCACCAGGCCATGATCCTCCTTTATAAACAAAACTAAACCCCAGTTCCCATCTCATCTTCACAAGGAGTCTGATTTGTATCAAACAGGACATCTATTTCCTCTTAAGCTATTTTTCTGGGATCCAGCCTATACTGTGATTTTGAGGCATCTGTCCAACAACCCTCCTCTGTCTAGCAGCCAAAGTGGAATAGTGGGAGATCCTACCTGCATGTAACGTTGTACTCTGAGACATAAGATTTAGGGGCATAAGCCAAGCTGAAGTCGATATAGCCCTGTAGGTTGCTGGAATGAGTGTATTGGTAATAAAGCCGAGGGAGGAAATCAGATGTGAAGGCAATCAGAAAGGCCTGAAATAAGAATCAAATTTAGTCTCCCTCACTTTCAAGTTACTGGTTGTTGCTAAGCGACAAATATAAAATAGGCTGTCGTATTCTAACTCAGTGGTTCTCAAACTAGGGTCCCCAGATGTTCTTAGACTGCAGTTCCCAGAAGCCTTCACCACTTTCTGTGGTGGCCAGGATTTCTGGGAGTTGCAGTCTAAGAACATCTGGGGACCCAAGTTTGAGAACCACTGTCTAACTCATGACACAGAGTGTCCTGTTGCTTCTGCAGAAGTCACAGGAACACACAAAGCTCCTTTTTACCTATATGACTATTGACCTACTCAGTTCAGTACTATCTACTCCAGAGGTGAGCAGACGTCAGTGGTTTACTTTACTAAAACCTTGAGATCTACTAACTGGACAGAGCTGCAAAATAGTGGCTCAGAAAAGCAGCAGCTGCCTGAGGTGGGAAGCAAAGCACACATAACCATAATGATACTGGCAGAGGGGAACATACTCTCCACACTGTAGAGGGGAAGTTACCACCATTCTCCATGGAGTCTGGCAATGTGAAAAGATGATCTGGAAAATCACTAATTCTGGAGCCTGAACATTTGCTATATAATCTGTGATATGTGTGCATGGTCTCAAACACATCACTATCTGTTGCATTTCCCAATCACCAAGAACAACGTAACTCAGTCCTCTTGGATTTGACTTAATTCCAATGTTGCCTTTGAAAAGGAAACTTCAAGGTGAGTAAATACTATTAATTAAGCATCTTTGGATAGAAACATTGTAATTAGCCATACATTTTCTGAGATGATCATTCCTAATAAAGAATTCAAAAATAGTACAACTTATTTGCGAAGCCCTGCTTTGATCTCCATCATACTTCTACTCACATTGCTAGTCACTGCCAAGTGTGTAATGACTTCCAGGATATTGAACCAGATGCCAATGCCTTGGGCCCTCTCTGCCACAGGGCGTCGGTATTCACAAACAAACTTCTGGGCATCCAAGCGAATTTCTACCCAGTTATTCAACAAGGCAAAGAGAGGTGCCAGGGGGCAGGCAGCCACAAAGATGGTAATGAAACCAAACTGCAGGACTGAAAAGGTGAGAAATAAATTATTTTGACTACCCAACCGAGAGAGTACCAACAAATCTCATCCAAGATATAATACAGGTAGTCCCACACATTTATTTTGTAAGCAGTAAGCGATATAGAAAATGCATTACTCTAAAAATAATGGAGAGCATTTACCATTTTATTGTGTCCACACAGAGAGAGAGAGACTTGCTGTTTTCAGCTGGTTAATAGTCAACCCACATTCCTTAACCTAAAATAATTCTGAATTAATTAACCAAACCACAAAGACAGCCTTGCTCAGTCTGGTGTCATTTAGAAATGCTGGGGTAAAACTCCCAGAAACAACCAGGGCCGGAGGATTCTGGGAGATATCGTAACACAGCCAGAGGATGCTAGCTTGGGAAAGACTTAGAGGACTTAAATATGTTACGATCGGAGATCTGAGAGAATATTAGGAGACAGACACAGATGACATTAAGCTTGGTGAATTAGGTAGTTGAAAGGAGGAGTCCAACCATCAGAAGTTCACCCTGCCTACTTACACAAACCAGAATATTGTGGTTTACCTTTATTGTGTGTATTCTGTACCATCAAGTCAGAATTGACTTCTGGGCAAGCAGGAAGTTGAACCCTGTTCTCCAGAGTCCTAGACTGTCACTCTATCCCATTACAACAAACTGGGGATCTTTACCTTTGTTAGATACCAAGAAACCTGAATGGTTGACAACAATTACTACAGAAACAGGACAGCCTTAGCTAATGCTTTCTTCAGAACTGCTGGATAGCTCAGTGGTTTAGGTATCTAGCTGCAGAGCTAGAGGTTGAGAGTTTGATTCCCCACTGTGCCTCCTTGACAAGGTCTGGACTCGATGATCCATAGGCTCTACTTCAGCTCTGCAGTTCTAAGATTATGAGTGAATCTCAAGAACTCCAGATTTAATTACAATAAAAATTACCAGTCTTAACTCTCAAAACAGCAGAGTTCAAGTCAAGTTTATGTTGTGGAGGCATAAACCAACAGCATCCTGTGGATTTAGGGCTAACAAGAAAACTGGATTTCTCCTGTATTCTCTGTATTTTCTGTGTGTGACAGGAGAATGGCAAAACTTTCACTTCATACTTCTGCACCACAAAGCATTATCTGGTGACTCAGACCATGCCTATTGTAGTGCTAATCCACAGGCCTTTTGCACTGATGCCCGAGGGATTCACTCATGCTACATAAGAGGAGTCATACTCAATCACAGAATCATCAACCTGTACAGGTAGAAGGTATTCCAAGTGCAAACCCCTGCAACTAAAGCACCTTGACAAGTGCCCATCTAATTTCAGTTTAGCCTCTGTCGAATCACAGGCTCATCTAGTTCCATAGTGAACAACCAGTTGCCTATGGAAAATGTGCAAGCAGGATATGAGAGAAATAGCAGCCTACTGTTCATTCCTCCCAGCAACTGACACAGAAGAAAAAAGCACACACACTGTTAATACTGAAGGGAATAAATATATACATCAGGACTAGTAACTTCTGATAGACCTATCCTACGCAGATTTGCTTCGTGAGGCAGTGGAAGACAGGAGGGCCTGGCATGCTCTGGTCCATGGGGTCACGAAGTGTTGGACATGACTTAACAACTAAACAACAGCGCAAATTTGTCCAGTACTATTTTAAGTTTCTCTGCTGTTGACTTAACGACTAAACAACAACAACACAAATTTGTCCAGTGCTATTTTAAGATTCTCTGCTGTCGGCCTTCATCACCTCTATTGATAGCCAGCTCCACAATATAATTCTTCCCTGTGTGAATAACTACAGTACTTCCTTTTAACTGTCCTGAATCTTCCACCAGAAGCTCATGACCAGTATCAGTGTGACTTCTCAGGAACAATGCTGACATTGGGTCAAGCCTCTACTAAGCAATTTTGATGTTACAAGGGACACATTGGATTTTACTGCCCACGTTAGAGCTGTGGAAGCTGCTAGGGCAAACAAGCTCAAATCTCTGGCTTGCTTTGCTTCTAACAAAGCTTTTGAATTCTACATTTACAAAGAGATAGTAGTAGTAATATTCTTTAACATCCGTCTTCTGCATGCTTTACTAAAGGGTCATAGGCTCTTCCTCTCTCACTTATAGAACAGCACTATGTCTGTCTCTCATACAGATGTAATTTGGCCGAAGTCATCCTTTTGCTTTAGTGCCTCATATTATCTGTGGGAGAAAGCCACTTACATTGCAGTTGCCTGTGACATCACCATGTATTTTTGCATCAATGCAGAAATGCTATTGTATTTAAAGCAAGCACCTTTAGACATAAGGTCATAGGCTCTTCCTCTCTCACTTATAGAACAGCACTATGTCTGTCTCTCATACAGATGTAATTTGGCCAAAGTCATCCTTTTGCTTTAGTGCCTCATATTATCTGTGGGAGAAAGCCACTTACATTGCAGTTGCCTGTGACATCACCATGTATTTTTGCATCAATGCAGAAATGCTATAGTATTTAAAGCAAGCACCTTTAGACACAATACTCAGTATTTGGCATGTTAAAACAGGATGTAGTTTTTTGGTGCTCTCCATTTTGAAGTTGTAAATCTACTGCCACTCCAGCATAAGACTTCATTTGGCAATAATTAATCCTCCCTCACCCCTTTGCCTTTTTGACCACTGCTATGCAGGGAACAGAATTGTTTTGAATTGTTTTCAGTCACTCCTACCCATTTCCAAATATTCATTAAAGAGTCCCTCGTAGGGCAACAATTCATAATCACTCTCCCAGAGCGGCGTCATGATTTGGTCTTGGCCCTTCTTATTCCTTTGAGATACATTGTTTCGGTTGTGCCACCATGATTTCAGCTTCCTGTGGACGTCAGAAAAACATGATCACGAGAACATCCAGGTCTCTTCCACTTTTGGTCAAATGGGGAGTGATCCGTTTGGGGGTGCATAGTTGCATTAGACCAAGACATAGTTTTATCTAGTCCCCAATTACTCCCATTGGGAGAAAGTAGAGGGTAGACCAACATAAGGTGACTATACTTGGGCTAGCTGGTGACGATTTAGGTTGAAGTCCAATACAGTACACCTGAAGGGCATTCAGTTGGGGAAAGTTGATAGTGGATCCTAAACATATATATCAGCTGGTGACGATTTAGGTTGAAGTCCAATGCACCTGAAGGGCATCTGGTTGGGGAAAGTTGATAGTGGATCCTAAAGATATATATGATTGTACAATTGGATGTTCTGTGCTACAACAGTTGCAAGGGAGAAATACTTTTTTTCTTTACTTGTTACAAGGAACTCAGGGATATGGTTGCCCTCCCCATGTTTACTCCCACAACAGTAGGCTAGGCTGAGGGGTAGCAGGTGGCCCTAGGCCACTCGGTTTTTTTGGCCAATTGGACTCACCAGCCCCAGTCTATCACTCTAAGCACTAGTGTCACAAACCCTAAAAGAAGTTGGATAGCAATGGTAATACTTGGGGTGACAGTCTGAGGCTTGGAGCAGTACCTTGCCCTGATCATACTAAGCCAGTGTTCCCAACCTTAGGAAACCCAGGTGTTCTTGGACTGCAACTCCCAGAAACCACCGCACAGCTAGTTGCGAAGGCTTCTGGGAATTGCAGTCCAAGAAGATCTGGATTATCCAAAGTTGGGAACTAAGCACTAAGCCAAGGCCACCTGTGTACAAGTGGGTACTGCATTGGCAAAAACTTCCTTCATCTGGGATAAATAATCACATGTTGAAGCGGCCATTTATTATGCAGTTATGACCTCTATAAACAAAACAAAAAACACCACAGAATTCAAGCTCTGTGAATATTGTCTTGGTTCATAGCAGCTAGTATTGGAAGAAGAGCATGCATGAACTAATATGCTCAGTCCCACCTTCAAAGCAAATACAACAAAGAGCCAGTCCCTGGAAAACCACCAACACCACTGGGGAATATTATTTTTCAGCAGTCTTAAAATGCCTGTGCAGTGTAAATCCCTGATTGTTGAAACCCATGAGAAACATATCAAGGTGTCTCTGTAAGTTGCTGCTTCAGAACAGAGAAATGGCACCGGGATTTTAAAAAATGCTTTTTGGTATGTAATCTGAACACCTCAGCAGTGAGGACTAAACATTGCCATGTGCATGCCAGAGAGAATTCAACTAAAGCTGCTTTGTATTCAAGAGATAAAACTCATGGAAAGAGCTGCCCTCCTATAACAGTTTTCACAAGTACTGTATAGTGTAATTATGGCCACTTCACTGAAAGGGCAATGATAGAAAATGAGCATGAGGAAGGCTTCCTTGCAATTTGGCTCCCGAGGTTTCTCATCCACTCTACTTTAGATTAATTTCCTTAATATGTGTGGGCTGGAGTGACTCATGGATCAATCCTTCCCCACACTTTTACCAGCGTCGCCATGTCACTTGCAGCCCAGTTGTATTTGCTGCTATGTGGAATGGAGTGAGAAACTGGCCTTAGCAGTGCAGCACCTCAGTGCACATCTTCTTGTGGTTGCAGAAATTTGCAGGAAGGGTAGCCATGTTAGTCTCTTTCACCCAAACCCAAAACTTGTGGCACCTTGAAGATTAACCAGTTTTATCTGGTCTAATTTTTTTGTGGACATCTGAAGCATCTGAAGGTGGGCTGAAATCCATAAATGCTTAGGGCAAATAAAACTGGCTACTCTTTAAAGTACCACAAGGTTGTTTTTGTTGTGTTTATACTGAAATAAAACTGTGTTGGTGTAATATCTTCCTTAGAACATGTTAAATGCTACCAAACATGTGCAGTGTTTTGAGACCTCCACATCTTAAACAAACGGCAAGATGGTGACAAGAGGTAGAGAGAAGGCTGACATTCCTGGCAAAGGCCCAGAGTTACAGGGCATAATTTACACTATTCCATCAAAGCATAAGACCACAGAAACTCCACTCACGGGATGAGAATTTCCTGCACGTTGTTAATTATTTGCTTTCCCACCATGATAACGAGTAGCTCCTGAGCAAGTTCTATAAGGCAGCCACCTGCACCACACTGGACACAGAAGACAGAGACTTCAAAAAGTTAGTATATAATATATGGCAGATATCCACCAACAGTCACTGGTATTTGAGGCCTAACTTCCAAGTAATCTTGCTGGAGTATGAAAGCCCACATGGTAGAATACTACCAGAAAACCAGAACTTTCTCCTTGAAATCTAGGTTGCTCAAGTCCCCCCTTGGTGTGTGGTGCTCTCTAAAAACAAATTATCAGTGCATCTCCTGATGGCAAAAACTAGGTCTCTTTTTCTTCATCCTCCTCAGAAGCCCCACACTTGGGACTCATGACAGGTAATTTGTTTCATTGATTTCCATCATCACAGCAGAATACTGGAGGCAAGAGAATGGGATCAAGTCTCAAATCACTTGCTACTCAACTTCTCAGCTTTAGGGAGAATATTGTCTGATATTGTGGACTTGAAATTAAGCACAACTCCCCTCTTTATCTGTCCTTTGCCTTTAGAATGCCCAGGTTCAGCCTGATTGCATTTACTTGAAAAAAAAACTCTGGCTTTATTTTTGACATCATTTTATGCTATTGTTCAACCAGTCAGTTCTATATTGGTTGCTTGGGATAGTTGGCAGCCCATACAGTCTGCCTAGCTATGATTTCAAGACAATGTTTCCTTCCTTTATTTCATCTGAGACACTCACGTCCTCATTGCGGATACCCAACAGTTTGTTGTAGTGTCCCGGATAGCCTACAAACCTGAAGGGAAAGAAAAAGAAAAAGGATAAGACAGTCCTAGCCCTTCCTCCATCTTTTTTTGCTGGCTTAAACATCTACAGTACATAGTGGGACACAACATACTGAAGCACCAAACTGGTAGAAATCAGTCAGGCATTTACTGTATACACACAGCAAAGCAGCATCTTCAAGCCACGGACTCAGTCAACACAATCCATGTTTCAGGTGTGATAAACAGAGCTGTGTGCATATTGCCTCTTGAAATTCTCCACACTATTTGTGGGCAGAGACACTCAGGGGCCAATGTTCCAAGGGGAAGAGAAATGCCCTAGCAATTTCTCATCAGTTCTGTATGTGTGCAATCCCTTTAAGAAAAGTTGGGTTTGAGCAATGGGAACCACATATGATTGTTTGGGTTATCAGTGCTCTGCTCCAAGTTGCCCAACACAGTTGCTTGTGAGTACAGAGAAGAACTAGCAGCTTCACACCCATATAAGTGTACATTATGCCTCTCAATATGCACTATGAAAGATCTGATGTTAGCTGCCTCAAATGCTCTTGATATTTACCATTACAGGATTGGGCACAAATTATCTGGTATATGCATTAATTGTACAGTGGTGCTTCTGACATGAATCAAGGACACAATCACTGTCTAGCTGTAGGCAAATGTAAGAAGTAACCCAACAGTGCCACCTAGAGCAGTCTTTGCAAACCTTATGGTTTCCGAGGGCGGGACTACTCCCCTTCAACTGAGCGGCATTTCATAACAGCAGCAGTTGAGTATAAAGCTACTTTACTGGAGGGAAAGTGGCATGCGTTACCAAGTTATGGTAAAACAACATTGTAGCTGTTTTGAAACATTTTGACAAGACTCTTTCAAGTTTTATGCTATTTTCTTACCACTTCTTAATTTTTCTCCTCAAAAGGAAGGATGGAAAAGAAGCAATTAAAAATTAAGGAGGAATAGAACAAGCTACTGTTTAAGGACGAATGAGAAACAGTAGCAAACTAATTTTTATAATTATAATTATTTATTACATTTGTACCCCAGCATTACTCCC